GTCTTCCAACATCAGTAATATCAGAACTCTGCCTGTTCTCCTTATAGTCCATGGGCCAGAGGTCAGACTTTGAATTAGTGGCTTCTATGGCATAGTGATCAGCTAATGAAGTAAACCACCTCCTGATGGAAATGGATGCTGGCGTATATCCTGTTTACCAACATCTGCCACCTTGAGTGGTACCATTATCTGGTCTGGACCATGGACTTTCATCTCAACGCCATGTTAGCCACCCTTAATGTTTAAGAATAGGGGCCAGCAGGACATTGTTTTTCAATTGATTACAGTCATTCACAGCACCGTGTCAGTATTCGGTAATGTAAGGGCTCACTATAACAAAGAATAAACAAATTAACACTCATACTTAAAGTTACTTATCCCTGTGATGTTTCTTAGATGAAAAAACTGAAAGAACTGAAACCTGTGTGCACACCAGTGGACACATTGGTCATGCTGTTTTGATGCTGTAGCAGGATAAGAAAAATCATACACTGACTCAAACATGTTCTTATCAAAAATAACATCTTCCCTAGAAAACACATTTTTGCTCTTGTGTTTATTTGCCTGGACAACATCCATGTAACCTTGATGTTTCTCAGAGTAAATGAAACACATCGTTTATGTCCCACACTAAAATCAGAAAGAGGTGTCTGTCTTAGGCTCTGCCAAACTCACACAGAGCTGAAGCAGCAGAGGCACTTTAGTATCAGGAAGACATTTCTGTTGAACTCCAGTAAAAAGAAACCTGCATACAAATCGTAAACAGTCAATACCAACACATTTTTAGCTCAACAGGTGTATATGTATAAAGCTCCTGCATGTGTGACCTTTCTATTTCAGCAACCCCTGTGGACAAAACTGCCTTTGTTTATCCTGTCCTCTTCATGCCGTTATCTTCGGACACAAAATCTCACCCTGCTTGCTTAAGGGAGTCAGATCTATCACTAAGTGAGGTGGAAAAGGTGGAAAATGTAAAAACAGGGCTGTTTCTTCAGCTGCGCTGCTGACACCTACCCCCGGTATAAGAATTATTAGTCTTGTCACCGAGGGTCTTGTTTACTTTTAAATATCATAAAAACAGGCATGTGTATGAATTTTAGCCTATTTCATGAATGTCCAAAAACCTTTTATAGGAAGTTTAAATTCAGTTGCTGTTGATAAATTCTTTCCACTGTGTCAGACACTGGACTGCTACATTTCAGTGTACCAAGAAGCCACTGGTCAGATGAACTTACCCTGTGGTTTCATTTAGAGCTGACGGTTGTAAAATTGTTACCTCACAGGTGATTAAAAAAGGAAATCAGGGAGTTGAGCTTGTTAAGATGTTCTGGTTGAGTCAGAACTTATTTTACTTTACTTTGACCCAAGCTGGAGTCTGCGAGGCTTTTATTTTACCACAGCAAGATTAATTATTAGTGTGATTGTGGCGAATCGTGTAACTTTGTGTTTGAAATAGAGGGAGAACATCCAAAACTGTTTTTAGGTTGAATTACTGGCTTGTGTTATCTTGAAGGTCTCATAGGTGTAAAATAACATCTCAAAAAAAGGTCCAATACTTACTGGAGGAGGAGGAACTCAAACCATCTAAATGCTGTAAGAATCTTTAACTGCTTATATAACGCATCCAACGTAATGCTAAGGCCTCTTTACAACCTGTAAAAGTAAATCAGGTGGAAGATTGCAGTTTTCAAAGTTTTCTTTACAGCCTGTTATTGCTGCTGAGGGATTAGATCACGACAAACTGACTTACAGCACACACGCTGAATGAGAATGTGTTTAAGGCGCCACAGGAGGTGAGATATTCTACTGTATAGATTTTACTGAGCTCGTACTAAACCTGGCTGTATAGGTTCACGATTTAACACACTGCTGTTTAAATACTCCATTTACTGAGTTAGTCACACTGAACTGTTGTACACACCAAAGTTGAGAGCTACCTCTAGAGTTGACTGTTTGTTTCTTTGACATACAACCTATTAGCCTCTTGCAAACACTTTCGTCATCTGTGTTTGGGTATATGATGTAATAGGTCAACCAGGAGATGGCCAATAATTACTACCTATTGTAGTTGAGGTAGACTTACCTGATGCTTGTAAACTGGAAAAAGGTCAGGCTTTTCTTTGGTGGGCTGTCCCCATAGACTGTATATAAGATGGACAGCCTGGTTCCGCCTTCCGCCTGTATACGGATTTGAAGCCAAAAAGCTCTCGGTAATTCCGGGTTTTTCTCCACTTCCTTGAAAACAGAGCTGCGCAGTAGCGTTGTACGCAGACGTTTTTGGCTGGGCGGGAGACTCGGAGCGATGATGCTCCGCTCAAAAGGTGCCCCCACCCCCCCGGATGTCCTTTCAGCCTTTCATTCGTAACGCTAATAGCTTCCCCGCTCGTCGCAACCAAGAATAAGTAAGTTCCACTTCTCCTAATATAATGTGAAATGTGTCAGCGGTCATGTCACGTGTCGGTTAACACAGTTTACTGCAGAACAACTCATTTTTCCAATGCAACAAAAGAGAAAAACGATGGAAAAATTGAATCCTCTTCTCCGCTAGCAAACCCGATTGGTCTTGACGATGAACGAAAAAGAGCGACGCACAAGCGGCAAGTGCAAAGTGTAGAGAATGACGCAATTTCCTGTTTTTATAACTCCAAATAACTTTTTAAAATGGAGCCGCAGAGAGAAAAAAAAGACCTGAACACAAACCAGTCTAATAATAACTACATGCCAACATCGCAGTCGGGGGTGAGAAAAGTGTATTTTCTGTTTAATTAATTTCTAAAGGCCGTCCGCCGCTCCATTCACTTTGCCGGCAGAAGTGGGGTTTATGACTTGTACTGCAGCAAGGCTCTAGGGGGTGCTGTTCTCGGAGTGGCTTCACCCGGCGAGGAGACAGACGGCGTCCATCTTATATACAGTCTATGGCTGTCCCTCATCTGATCCAACAGCTACCCCCTCCTGCCACTTACAGGAACAAAAATCCAAAGTCAGGAACTTACAGTCTTGTTGCCGATGGTCTTGATTCCTTTTTCAGTTCACAAGGAATCATCACTGTTGATATCAGTCTGCTTGTAACCAGTTAAAAACTCCTCACGGGAGCTTGGAGAAAGTACGTAGGTAAAGCTTTAGTTGTAGTGTCAAATTACTCTAATGCAAGTTAAATTCTTATTGAAAAAAACAATTATATATCTTTTATAATCAGAAAAATGTGAGTGAGCTATCCAAATGCGAAAGTACAAAAGTTCAGCAAATTGTCCTGCAACTGTTGGATTACTCTGTATTGTGTTTTTATGGGATTTAATGAGAAGCTGAGACTGTTTTTTGTTTCTCGCTTTAAAGGTTAAAGTAAAAAAGGATTATTATCATCAGTTATTAAATCATGCTTTACTCATGCAATATTTTAACATAGATTTTACACTGTTGTAGTTAGTTGGGATGAATATTCCCCTTGAATATTTCCCCTGCTCTCATGTCCTTAGTGTTTGATTTCACATGCAGCTCTGCAGCTTTTAAACAGAGCATAAAGTCTTAAGTTTTTGCATACATAAACATCCAAAAACTTTTATTAAACAATTATTCCAGAGACTTAACAGCAGATGAGTGACAGCCAAAAAACTTCTTTTCTCTATAAAGCTATAAAACAGCTTCCTAGCATGAAGAGACCAAAGCCACACAAATATCGACACCCAGCCACTACTTGCATGCCAAGGGTAATTCAAAACCTGTCCAAGTGAGTAGTCAAGAAGTTGTAGTTTATTATGAAATCATGCATATTTTAAGACACCCTCCCAAAAAGCAATAACTGTTTATTATGTTTAACATACATCTTGTTCATCTTACTGATTTGGCAATACTGCTGCTTTCTGGCAGCTCCACAGGTGCCTGCCCTGCAATCTGTGATTAAGATGTCAATGCAGCAAAAATCAGAGGCAGAGATTTGACCTGTGATACCTTTCCACTCAGCACTGTCACACCCTGAGCAATCAAATATATTTTATGGATTTGTTTTCATTCTTTTGGATGTGAATAATTTTCTTCTTTTTGTCTGGTGGAGCCAAACTAACTAAACCAAACAGCCCTGAATAATTAATCATTTCAGAAGGTTTGGATTCACATTTCTGCAGGCAGACGACAAATGCTGAGTGTGAGTGTGTCACTGTACTTAGCATAACACTGTTGCATGTGCTGCATGGTACAATTATCTTACATTTGAGACTATCAGCAGGTTCCCATCCTTTGACTCATGGGTTCATCACTCAGAGCTGCTTCCAGGTCTGAAAGCGGTGGCACGCAACCAAAGTCTGGAGAGAGAGTGAACTAAAACCACTCCCCCCCCCCCCACACACACACACAATCATACCAACTATGTGACTGTCCCGGTCTCCCCCTTTCACCTGCTGCCTGAGGCGATTCATGTCTTTTCATGCTTCATGGCATGTCAGACCGAGAAATTACACTGAAACACACAAGTTAACAGTTCACAACCCTCAGGACAACACAATGTGACTGAGTACATATGGTATGTCTCATTCAAAGGAAAACAAAACAGATGCAACGACAACACACAGTGAGTAACTGGGCTCAGTCAGGATGCAGAAAATAACAACACATTGATACATTTTCTTTGAAAGAGAATTAATAAAGGACAGGGAAAAGAAGTTGAACAAGACAAAAATGAAACGTTTCCCATTATGCACTGGCAAACATATTAAACATCTGCTGAGATGAAGAACTTATTGAACCTCTGAGAGCCAACTCTGGAGTGTATTACTTAGTCCATTATAAAGCAATGCAACAGTAATAGCAAGAGATGCGCATCTTTGTTGTTGCGGTGGTAGCAATGACTTTGGAAAGGATGTGTTTTGTTTTTCTGGCCTTCATTGCCTCCTTGTGGTTACTCACCAACATGAGGACCTCAGTCACAAGTGAGGCCATTGTGAAGCTCATGTCAAACCATCTTTGTGTAAAGCCCAACAGAGAAGTGAAAGAATAAAGTGATAAAATTCTTCAGAATAACACAATGTGGGATTTAATTTCACAGCTTTTATTTCAGTTTCGGAGTAAGAAAGTGGACAGACCGAAGTGTAAACTTACAGAACAACAATGCAGTGTAGCTTGAACAAGTGAGAAGACGAACAACCTAATTCCAAAACACATTTCTCATCATAACTTGGCTTTTGTATGTCGGAGCACTACAGCAAAACAATGTTTGATAAGAAATTCAAAAGTCCTCTGATGGCAGGTTATGAAGAAGTCACTTCAGATCATCCAGTTTGCCGAGTCACAGTACCAGCTGCACGATTGGGAGCTGCAACTGAGGTCTTTGGCATTTTATCAACATGTTGTTCTTGTCCTGGTGGCCTTGAACAGATTCAGATTCAGATTTGGAGAGGTGATGTCATCTCTTTAAAAGTCTGTTAACAGATTTGAGTTCATCAGAAGACAGAGGGGAAAGATTGTAGCCTCGCAACTCTGGTTTTCCTACAAACAAACAAAAAAAAAAACACACGTTGTGGTCACCTTTATGCTCGCTTCAGGCTGAGGATTTCATAAAGTGACAGATCACCTTTAATCACAGAAAAAGGTCGTTTACAAAATAGCAGCAGCTGAAACATTTACTCTTGTGCTGCATTTTTTAAGTAAGGAACCTTTTTCTAAGAAACGTGTTAAGGATTTCCCCTTTTTGATTTTCCAGGGGAATAATTACTGAAATGTTTTCCCTCCCTGTCTATTCTTCCACATCTATAGTTATCACACTGAATGAAGACTGGGCTTGTTCCCAATCCCTCTTCGAAAAGCTGATCCACTGGGATTCAGTCAGAATTTAACAACCCCTCAGAATCTGTCTGTCATTTAAGACAAGATATTTGTAAGGCATTTCAGAAATTTCAGTTGCTCTCTACTTGTTTTTCTTCACTTGTTTCACAGGCCCCAAGAAAAAAAAGTTAAATAGTAAACAAGATTAATTGTCTAACTTAGAGAAATAGCTGAGCCAACACCACAGAAAACACTTCTATTCAGAACCCTGATGAAAACACGCTACATAGAAATTTTAACACTACATCAATTCCACATGGATTATTCATCTGGTCTGCCCCTTTGGGATGAATGATTGTTGATCGACAGAAAACCTTCAAATGACAACTGGGGAGCTACTATAAAGCAGATATTTCCTGTAACCTCAATGAAACCACATCATTTTATCTATCTCCTTGCGTGCCGTCTGAAATGTATTTCTGATTAAGTTAAAGCCAATGACCTACCATGATTGGTTTCACATACAATCTTTTCATCTTATTTTTGGCAAGAAAGCAAATAAATCAGCTTTAATGTACATGTCCCTTTGAATATGTGTTACACCCTAATTTGGCCTGTTGAACTGTGGAGTGGTTCTCTTACCTTGGATCTCATTGAGATGATTGACTTTTGCTCTCAGCCCAGTGCGAAGGTCGTTAATCTCCTTGTCCAGCTGCTCTTGGTCTACAGATATGAGACAAAGATGGGAATAGTTCAGAAAGATCTCACATTCAGAAGCAGTACGTATTTAAAAAATGTATTTAAAGTCAGTGGAGAGTACAAAATCAAGTCAGTATGTTAGTATCACAATCAGCTGGAAGTTTCTACCTCTTTGAATCATCTCTCTTGTCTTCACATTGGGAAATCTGATGAAAATGTTTCCAAAGCAAACCTTCACGTTTTCTGTAAATGACATAAATGCTTAGTAGGAAATAAATTACGACAGCAGCAACACTTTGATTTCTGAGTCCCACAGTTACACACCACATAAGGTTTCAAAGATATAGGTAAACTCACTGAGAAAAGATGATGCCTAGTTTGTCTTATAAAGTTTACTAAGCACACACTTTCAAAGAGTTTCACAGCCTATTTGAATACATGTAGTATGTTACAGAGGCAAAAGTTTTCTCTTGGTCAAATGAATTCACACTGAGATGACGTGATGGACTCCTTGGGTTTTAAATCTCTATTGATACCAAATCAGAACAAACAGAGTCCATATGTACCTTCTTTGTCTTCATATTGTCCTGTGAACAGCCAGGTCCATACAGATAATTTTAAATGTGGGGTTTGGGATCATTAAGCTGCTTCAGAATTTGTTGCTTCAGCCCCATTAGAAGTCTCTGGGGCAATACTGAGGGCAGGACTACCTGACAAGGCCACACTCCGGTCTTTAAAGGTCCGTATGATTTTTCTTACCAACAGAAATGCATCACAATACTGCTTCTCTGAGATCTACCTCAAATATCACTCACCTGTGTTTGACATTTCAGTTTTTAGAGCATTTAAGGCCTCTCTGTTCCTGTTTCTCTTTAAGTCCAGGTCCACGATCTGAAACATTGACAAGGGAAATTATTTTCAGAGTTTTACATTGTCTGAATTAGGGATACTTTCCCTTTTTCTGTTTCAGTACAGGAAGACCGGGAGCACGGTTGAAAGTACAACAAAGTACAAGTAGAAATAATCCAAGTTTTCCTTACCATTGGATGGATTCAAAAGCGTGTGCCTTTAATGATTTCATTCAGGCTATTCAGGTAAGCCAAAAACAATAGATCTCTGATTAGGAATATTTGCTGTCCCGACAATATAATGTTCTCTACCTTGACAGCTTACTGTCCAGTATATACCCAAGTACTTCTCTATATGTGCAATTTTGCAAACAGAACGAAAGTTTGCTGCTCCATTTGACATGTTTTCATGATCCAATACTCGTGTTTTTTTTTTATATGAGATTATTTTCTTCCACTTTAAGAAGCTAATGAGTGGATGGGATGCATTCTACGGCACAACACCTGTCAGTTCCGGAAATACGCAGACAGCGTCTTTTTTATCACACGTGACTGTGTTAAAGTTCCAAATTCACCTGCAAAGCCACACGATCTGAACAAGCTGAGGTCTCGAAGCTGACAGCGAATATCTAAGCAAACACGTGGAGAAAACTTCTCCTTTCGAGGTGCTTCTATTAGCCATCAAAACGATTAATTTCTTCGCATTAGACAATCTGTACTGGACAATCTAACTTTAAATAAAAGCTGAATTTTGTTCTTTGATTAGAGATAAGGGCAATTAACCACAAACGATTAGTGCTCTGCACTTTGGCTAGTTAGCTTTCGATGCTAAGACACTTGTAATGTGAAACTTAATTTCTCTTCCGTGAATTACAAACAGTGCTTAAATACTGATTAGACATTCTGTGACCTGCTGTTTAGTTGTGAGAACATCCTCAGCAGCCTCCTCCACCTCGGTCAGATGCTCCAAAACACGCAGGGATTCAGCGTCCATGGTGGCTGACGGTGTCACTACCAAAATATGTCCGATCTGAAACAACAGCCGTCTCTGAATTATCCTACTATACTAGCAGTGCGTACTGATTTGCCCTAAGTGAAGTATGCAATACACAAACAAATGCGTTGCAATATGTCAAAAATACCCAGATGACGAACTGACTCGGGAAAATTTTACATTATGCATCGGACCTCGGACCAGTGTCCTTCGCCTACTGTTTCGCCTAGAGTTTGTAATGGCAATAACCATAGACATAATATACGTAGACGCCTCAAAGCCTGACTTTGCCTACTGGAGCTCACGTATCAGCGCGACCGCCATCTTGGATGGGTGCCTCCATTGCATCAAAGTAGGTAGAAATGCCCAACCATATTAATAATAACTCTCTGAATCTCTGCATGATTTTCACACTGTTTGGTTTGTTGCAACGGCAGGGATGTAACCAATTCTTTTTAAATCTTGCACTGCTATAATGAGGCAGCGAGTGGTTCCACATGCTGCACAAAGTGCCCTTATTTACTGAGCATCTGTCCCCCCAAAATGTTTGTGCACACCACCTCCTACTGGTAACATCTTTTTTGTTTAGTTGTTCCCCTCCTAAATGTCAAATCTTCAACCAAGCCACAGAGAGTGAAAATAACTGCCTTCACCTGGTTTTATATTCTACCTAGTATTGAACACTTACATGCAGCGATGATGAAAGTAATTTATCTGAACAGATGTTATTCAGCCCTCTGGCTGTCTCCAACCAGTCTGCATAAAGAAGTGTTCATTATGCTTGTAATATCACTGAAAAGCCTTTATTTTCACATTCTGCACATGCTAACGCAGGCTAGCATAGGTTATTGGAAACAAATTACTGGTTATACAGCTGCATCTCTGTAAGATTGTTTTCTTTTTTATCATTTTTTTTCATAAGTATGGTCATTTCAACATCAATATGTAATCACAAATCAGTACATATTTCATATTCAAGCTGCAAGCAATACTATGTTTTACATTAATAGTAGCATAAGTTTGTCAATGCACTGTGAAGAGCTACATAAATCTTTACAGCATCCTTTCATTTGTGCCAGTAGAAGCAAAACTTAAAGCCTTACTTATGCAATCAATTATATTTCACAGAGAAAAGTCTGAACTATGCTACACTTCTCATCATTCCATTCTCCCATTTGTAATGCTTTGCGCCAGAATTCAACACAGTCCTGGTTCGTCCCTGTGTGGCCGTTAGGCTGGCCCGTACCCCAGAACCTTCAGGGGAAAGGAGAAAAATACAACATGACAATCAACATGGATCATCAATGCCCAGCCTTTGACTTTAGGAAATAGGAGGGTTTTTTCTTACGTTGTGGTCAGTGGTGTCCCGTCCACCCATTCCCATTGCCCCTCTACTCCTCTATCACTCAGGCCGATCCATGGTTCTTGGTTCTTTGTAACCCAATTATTGACAAATCTCTACAAGAGAAATGACACACAGTTCAAAATGATTTTCTGCAAATGAAGTCACTGTATTTTACATTCAGGGAAATGTGAAGTGGCATTATTGCTCAAGTCATTTAAGGTTAAAACTGGACTTAAACAATGGGTTGAATTAGGTTTATGTTTAAAATATATATTTGTACATCATTGTGGTTTTATAGTGGACACAGTAGTTACCCAAATGAAGAAAAAAAAACAAAACAAGGAAAAAGCATGTACTGTTGGGTAAAAGTAACCCTGCATTGAGGCATAATGTTTTTCACAGGGAGTCCTGCTTTGATACTGTTAAAACCAAGAATGATGTGCAATAGTCGTCTTATCCAGCAGTGCATGTTTATTTAATTTGGGGATGGCTTTGGCTCCTTTTTGTGTTTATAAACTTCCCTTTAGTTTAGGGGAACTGAAACCCAACTGTGTGTTTGCAGCTTCTTGAAAATAAGGGAAACTGCTGAGTTAGATGAAAATTAGCAAACCTCCTTACATCACACCCATTTATTTTCTACACCATATGAAAATATCAATCAAAGCTTAAACTCACAAAGTTAACTAACATGAAACTGATCGTGCTTGGATAGAAATTGGTGATCACTCTCTTTCACAAAACACATAGATATAATCAGATGTGAAAACAAACCATTTCTTCTCTGCGCGTTATGATGGCCAGCTCTGCTCCCATGATTTGGCAGCTCTCTCTGGCAGCATTCCAGTTTTTCTTGACAGTAGAGAGAAAGTAACAACTGTATTGAAATTTCCTCCAGCCAGTTTGACATGTCTTCCCTGAAAATGGAAGAAAACTCTTGATCAGTAACCAAACTTTGAGACAGATGTGTTTAGGACAACTGAATTATATATTTTTAAACTTTTAATTGATTTGCCTTTCATTCATCAGTGTTTACTTCTAACTTTTCTCTTCATATTTTTTTTACAAAATCCTTTTAACAGGACTGTGCTTATGGAGTCAGGAGCCACTAAAGACAACTAATTAGCCAGTCATCAACACACATTCATTTACTTTGAAGGCTTTGCCTGTGAGACCTTTGCCTCCTTTGATTCTTTGACAAGAGGAGTTGGGAATTGAACCACAAACCTTACATTTGATTGGGGTTAACCCACTCTACTCAAGAATCACAGCTGCCATAGTAATCTGAGTCTATAACTGACTTAACCTTTCAGTCACCTTGTAGCTGCACTGTCATCTGTACTGTTACCAGCTGTTGATGTGCTTGCCATACAGTTATATAGATGGTTTTTATTCTGTTTATTAAAACCAACACCAAAATTTGATAAGATTTGAAAAGATAAACCTTCTAACCTGTCAAATGCTCAACATTTGCCTCGCAGCGGTGTCTAAAACAGTTTTTGCTTACCGTTAATGGTTGCATTCAGTCTCTGAACTTCCCCCTGCAGCATGTCTCTTTCATCAGTCAGGTCGTCATTTATTTTCTGCACCTTTTCCTTTTCTCTTTCTTCACTTTGCAAATCACATGCCGGCTCACGAGAAGGTGACATGGCCGTTGAAAAATTTTGGTGCAAAGCTTTTTCTCTGATAGTAAGTGCGTCAAGTTTACTCTTCAGCTGGAGTATCTCGTTCACCAGGTTCTTCTGACTGCCCTCTAGCTTCTCTTTTTCATAGGAAGAGAAGTTGTGTCTTTCTTGCAGTTTTTCTAAATCCTTTACAAGTTTCATGTATTTCTTTTGCAGCTCATCTTTTGACCTGCTTGCATTATTGAATTTATTCTGCAAGTTGTCTCTTTCTTTGGTCACAGAGTCGTAACTAGCATATAAGTCGTTTTTCTGTTGGAGATCTGCTACATATTGTTGTTGTTGGAGGTCTCTCTCTTTTGTCAGGGTGTTGTTAACACTCTGTAACTGGTCTGTACTGGCTTTCAGCTGTGCCTTCTCTTTCTCTAAAGTATCTTGGCTGGCCTGTAACTGCCCTTCACTGAGTCTGAGATCTCTTAATTGTTCAGTCAGTGTATATCTGTTGGTATACAGCATGTCTCTTTTTCTATTTAATTGAGAACCTGTATTCATTAACTGCTCGCAATTGGTTGCAATATCCTTTCCCTCTTTTTGCTCTGTGTTCAGTCTCTCCTGGAGATCCTCCTTGTTTTTATTTAGGGCTGTTAGTTTGTTCTGATTGTCTTGTTGTACTTTTTGATCTGTAAAAGAAGACAGAAACATTTAATTCATGGTAACACATTTTAAAGCATCTGAACGTTTTACAGAAAAAACAGACAGGGTGGACTCACAGTGAACACTTTGACCTATGACCCCAAGCAACAGGAGAAGACACAGCAGGCTGAGGAAGAGTGTCGCAACCCGGAAAGGGCTGTTCCTCAGAGCATGAACTGATGACAAGAAAACTGGAAATAAGGCTTGAAATTAATGATGATGTTGCAAAATAGTTGACCGTTTCGAGCAAATGGCGTTAGTTTTTATTTGATGATCCTTTTTGTTGTCTTCAAACAACATCGGCAACAGGACTTCAAATCATGACAAAATTGTGGCCCTATCTTCTTTTTTTTTTGTTTAAAACTCATTTCACAGATTTAACATCAGGATTTTCCCAAAGCTCCTGAGAGAGACTTCTAGCTTGTCAACGAGGGGCTCCTGTGGACAAAGCAGTCCTTTCCTCTTCGTGCATGAGTAATATCTCCTGACAAAAAAACTCATCTTGCTGACTTTTGACAGTCAAATTTGTCTTTCAGTGTAAGCATTTTATGTTGAACTGTCAAAACAGAGCTGTTTCTTCAGCTTCTCGACTGACACTGGTATAAGCCATTAAAAATAAGTATTAAAAAAATCCTCAATCATGCTTGTGTCAGCTTTTTCATATTGTAAAAAGATATCAGTGCAAATTTTTGCATATTTCGTAGAAGTCTGACAACTCTTTATAAGAGCTTTAAACTCAAAGGTTCTTCATCACAAGACCGACATCTATGATTTTTTTTCCCAATTGTGTTATTGAAAGTATTGTTATTAGTATAAGCAGAATTTGTGGTAGTAGCAGTGACATTTTCCAAAAATAGTTTTGAAATGAAGTCTTATTTTTTCTTACCTGGAAACTTAAACGTGTTGCCATCCGCAGTGAGTTTCTCATACTGAATTTTGCTGTCGTCAGTTTCCAAGTTTGTCAGTGTAGAGGCATGGTACTCAACAGCCATTTTCGCATACTACATTAACTGGAGCCTTGAGAAAATATGACAGTAACATGAGCTTCTTACGCAGCTTAAGTGTCACATCCCTTTTCAAAGATTTTCCCCCTGAACACTTTTGTATTGACTTTACCAGGACTTAAGTAAGGTGATAAAACTTGAGTGTTTGAATATCATGACCAATGTAAGACAAAATCAAATTACCTTTACCTCAGCTGTAGAGAGGGTAGCGCTGTCAAATGACTAAAATGTTGAAGAAAAGATGATTTCAACAGCCTTGAAGAGCACAATTTAACTTGTAAGCTTTCTGTGACTTTACCCTGCAGAGTCAATGCACTTGCATGACCAATCACTGTTAGACCTGTGAAAGGGGGTGGTTACACCAGTGGCCAGTAGGCAGGGAATGAGTTTCCTTCAAAAATGGTTTGTCTGTGGTTTCAGTATTAAAAGCATCATTATGTAGTTTATCCTCAGATTTAATCTTTGCCTTCAAACCCCTGAATCTTCTGAGTACCTGAAAAAGGCATTGTTATTTTTATGTATTTATTTTTTCATCAAGAAACTGAACCCTTAAAACTGCACCAAACAAACAGCAAATGTTATTTTGTCACTTGTAAGAAAAAAATAATAATAAAAAATATATATATATAGCTGTTGAGAGTCTGAGGGGTAAGATCATAATTGAAGATCATTGGACAGAAGCAGATATTCTTTAATTAAGCAGTCAGAGTTTTGCACCAAGTCAACCTGATTATTTGTCAAAAGGAACCATGTAAATCAATATGAGGAAGAAGAGATTTCACAAGACGCAGACATGTGAATCATTCTTCACCCTTACAAATAAACATGAAGAAAGTTTGGTAACTTGGTAACAAGACGGTAACTTTATGTTAATCAGATGAACAGCTGTGAAAGCAAACCGAATGGGAACAGAGGCGATTCTTCTTCGTGGCTGTTTCCTAGGCCTGCCGCTTGCAGCCCCTGCCATTGTGACCGTTGCTGCTGCCATCCAGAGAACAGCCACAGGGGGGGATCTGCATGTGCTTCCTTACCAGCAAGTTCCTGGAGGTCCACGTGGCGTCTTTGATAGCGGCTAGAGTGAGCCACACTTTTTCAAAGAGCTTGAGTGTTTTTTTTTTTATTACAATTGTTGGGTTAGCTTTATGAACTTTATCATGCATTTTTTTGATTTGTCAGATCTAAGCAAAATCAGCAGTAATATTTCCAGAAGTCAAACATATACAAATATTGACCAAGTCTTAAGGAAAAAAGTCTGAGAGAATTTAAAAGGAAAAAGGTTTTATTATAAATACCTCTACATTCATCATATGATGTAAGATGAGCATGTGAATATTCACTGCTGCAGGAGCTTATCTGACTGTGATCACAGCACCAAGTTTCACATATTGTGTTAATGAAAGTAACACGGAAAGATCTGCTGATAAAAAAAAACAACCGCTTTCTGTCAAATGTTTCAAATAAAGTTAGAGTGCTGAAAATATGCACTCTTCATTCAACTTTTTGAATAGTAGTGATGGATGTGGTAATATGACTCCATCTACAGTGCTGACACTGCTTTTATTTAACAAATTCAACCTGTTTGGTTCTGTGTGATCTGTTCACAGGGGGCATTTTCCCGGGCAGATTGTCCATTATTGCAGTGACAGCATCTGGTTTTATGTCCTGTTCCTTTGGTCCAGCTCCTCTTCTGACCTCAGGTCCGCCTCTTCTACACTCAGATCCACTCCGTCTTTTCTCCACTTGTAGTCTCTCTACTCCATTTCTCCTGTGCCCTGAGCCACTTCTCCTCCTAAACCCTCCTGTCTCGTAATCCCACACATCCCACAGGGCTCCAAAAGGGGCCCAAACACTGCAGTCTCTTGCAGTTGAATGAGGCTTCAAGTTGGCTCCTTGAGCAGAGTTGCGAATGTTCCCTGAGGCTTGCATTCTCCTCAGATGGCTGTTGGTCCCTGTAGGGCTGCTGAACCTCTGGGTCCGGGATGCTGAGCTTCTCTCTGATGAGTGGGCCCGGCTCTCACTGTAGCTTCTTTTGGGGAGTGATAGTGGCCCCCTGTGCTCCAGCATTGGACTCAGCCTGGACTGATGGGTGTGGCCGTGTGTAGAGCGACAGCATGATGTCCCACAAGAGGTAGAGTATCGAATTCGGCAGAGAGTGCAGGCACAGCCGGACAGCAGGGCGGAGTGGTTGGCCAAAGATGAGAGGAAGGTCAGAGGGAAGGCCCGCTGACATTGGAGGATGCACTTAGGGGTGCTGAGGCGTGACGTGGCAGCAGCAGATGACCTTTGGCAGCTGGATATAACATCTGACGCAGCTGACTTTCCACTCTCCTCCTGCACAGTCTGAATCTGACACCACTCCAGCTGCAGCAGCCTCTCCAGGTACCTTTCCAAAGGGCCCACAGCTCTGGGTCGTGGCCCCCCACGGCCCTCCATGTTGTAGAAGACAGCCAGCTGACTGAGATTCCAGGAGTTAAAAGGTGGAGGGAGAAAGTCAGGGAAGTCGAGACGATCATTGCTGCGTCCTCTTGGCCTGTAGCGCCGAGAAACGCAGCAACCGTCCTCTATGACCTCTGGCCTCAGCTCAAGCTGGGGAGGATCCCAACGAGAGGGGGACACAGGAAGTCTCTCAGACTCAGACAAGTCAGTGTCACTGTCCTCCTCTCCATGGCTCTTCAGACCTCCTACATCTGGGTTTGGAATCAGCCTATGGAGATGATCCGGACTGGCCTCAGACGAGCGATGGCAGGGAAAGGCTGGTGTGTGTCTGCTCCCTCTGTAATTCTTGTGCTTATGTTCTCTGCGGCTGCTGCGATGAGCAGCAGGCTGCACCTTTGGCCCCATCCCATCCTCTCCAGTAGAGGGTGAGTTGGACTTTGACTCTGAGGTTGCCAGAGCACTACAAAGAAAAGCAAGTCATATTATCAATAGAGGGAAGAAGCAGAGTCATGTAAATGTAGCAGGATCAGCAATCTTACCTGTGCTGAGTGGGCTTGTGTTTGGTTGAGGGGTTGTTGGGTTTGTGCTTTCTTCTTTGCTGCAGCCGCTGTGACCACAAAAAGACAGTCACTCGCAGAGTTGTTTCTATTTATAACTGATGCATATCCACAATTAAAGCTCATGGTCACTTTACACATCTGAAAAACTGTACTGTGCTGTACTCTTATAACGTGTGCACCTCAGTTTTGGGGATGACCCTATGGAATGGCCTGAAAGCAGTAATAAAAACTTGTTTGATATTCTTATTGGATTTAAATGCGCTTTCAAAAAATTATTAATGGACAAATATAAAATGGAGGTGCTCAAAAGGGGAATTTCAAGAACTTTAAATATGACTTTATTTTTTTGCTAGTGTCTTTTGTGACCAAACCCTAACCCTCTTAAACTAAAATGGGGAAACACTGGAGCTGAAGCTAAACTGATAAAACCATGATAAGATATAGGAAACTCATAAAATGATAAAAAATAAAATAGTAATAATAATAAAATCATATAATAAAACTGTTTTTAATTCAAACAATAAAAGAAAATAAACAAATAGTGTTAAAACATAAAATAATAATTCTGGGACTAAAGTCAATTAAAATACACAAGATAAAAAGAGTCGACTAAAAGATTTAATTTGTAGTTTAATCTAAGAAAAACACAGGCTTTTAGAAAACTAAATTCAAGTTAGCTTTCATAATAAGTGCACGTAAATCCGTGTTTCTGAGCTTTGCTCTTCACCCGCAGCTCACCTTCTCATTATTGTTGTTGTCTTGACTTGGGAGCGTGTACTGTGGCGGCACCGACTTCCTTTGTGACTGCCGCTTACCCATTTTGTTGCTTGGAACAAGAGGAAAAACATTAAATATTAAACGTAACCTAGCCTAATTTAATTAGAAATATCGGTTCAAATCTCAACAGATATCCTAAAAGATGATAATAGCACCACCAGCATGCTGTTTTTGTTTTGATATTGCTCATATGAAGCACTAAAATAGCGTTTTATCATCAAAAAGGCAGGGACGCTCAGAGCGCGCTCCTTCATGGTGTCATAATAGCCTACAACCTCCCTAACGCACATCAATTTCTATCAGGATCATTTGGTACCAAAAAAGGAAACAATCAGTATTTTACACTACCTGGCCACATTAGGCCTGCTGTTGCTCCACACCGCCTTCTTCTTCCATTCTCGCTCTCTGATGGAGACCCTCTCTTGGCATTGTTGTGGCAATCGCTCCAGCAGCACTGTGCCCATCCCCGCGACCAGCAGGCACCAATAAAAAAGGAGAGTGGGTTGTTCACGCGGGACGTGTTAGTGTAGTCGGAATGAGAGGGGGACGAAATGCTTAAAATGTTCCCTTGAATAACGACAAAAAAAAAATATGACGGCAGGATGACAGTTCCAAATCCGCCCAGCAGAGGGCAGTGCTGATACAGCTTCAAAGGTATGCACTAGATATCCATTTATGGATGAGACCGGTGTCTGTGGTCCTTCTTATCATATATCAGGGCAAATAGTTGTTGTGATGATAATAATAATAATGATAATAATAATAATAATAATAATAATAATAATAATAATAATAATAATAATAATAATTTGTTTTGTTTGCAGCTCCTTATATTTTTGTCATATGACGTTTGTGCTTCTTTGAAGCGGGCAGGTAACTGAATCAAATCTGAAGGTTTGCAGCAAACTCAGAGCCGGATAGCTCCACACCGACCTAGTTTCTCGCCTTTCAGTAAAAAGTAAAATTCTGTTCTTTAAGATTCATCCCAATGTGAAGCCATTCAGTGCTGCCCTAACCCGAACTCGAGAGGTGAGGCCTGAAACAAATCTAGAGATAAATGGCAGCAGGCTGCATCTGAGGTTGAGCATGAAAACTGTTGCTGTAACGAGAAGAATAAACTGTCCTCTGGTTGCTTTTTTAGGACGTGACAGGAACATTTCGACGCAACACCGGAACCCCGCACAATCGCTTCAGTTTATAACCGGAATTGTTTATGGGGACACACTTGGAACAGCTGTCAGATCCGAAAGCAACTAGCAGTAGCGGCAGCCCACCGACCAATTTGGCTTTTCCAATCAAATTACATGTTTTCTGCTTCTTGCACCACAGGTTAGTGCGCGAGTATGTTGAACAATAAGAAAATGTTGTTGTTGTTGTTGTTGTTGAATGGTATTCCTACAAAAACAAACGATTGCTTGAGCTAACAAAACAAACTCGAGTTGTCAGACAAGCTAACCTTTCAAGAGAGATCAAGAAGCCTCTCTACTCTGTTCGTGTTACTGGGGGTTGTTCTGGGTCCTGCCCTGTGTAGCGGTTTCTTGTTTTGTTCTCATGAGCCTGTTGTCACATGGATTAAGAACATCTGACCTGTGAGTCGTTTTTGCAGGGTTAGATTGATAATAACGAGTCAAATGTAGATGAGGAGCTTATTTTTAACCCCCATGAGTTGGAGATGGCTCCTATGTTACACTTCTTCTTTAAAGGGATATTCCGGCGTAAAATTAATTTGGCCTCAAACACACTGTAACACAGAGTTAGACACCCCCTCGAGATATGAATGTTGGCGACCGCTTGCTTTTCCAGTTATACCAACTTTAGTAGCGACCACAGGATACCAGTACACAGCGGTCTGAGGAGCCACACACAAACCTCAACCAAAAAGCCAATCTACAGCTACAAAAAATTGATCAGAACAGCACCAAACTTCTTCAACAGTACATATAGAGTTCTGGCCATAGTACTAGCCATCAAACATATTTTTAGCTTTGCCTGATTTCTTTAGCAAAGAGACTAAACACATCCCACCTACTCTCTTCAAGCAGCCACTTGTTTGTAGCGAGACCTCCAGACGAGTCAATCAACTGCAGCAGGGTCACGCAGCTCAAGGAAGAACATTTATGATCATTACTTTATCACATCAAGAGGAGTCAGCTGAGGTGGCTCGGGCATCTGGTTAGGATGCCCTCTGGACGCCTCCCGTTAGAGGTGTTCCAGACATGTCTCACCGGGAGGAGGCCTCATGGCCGGACCAGGACCAGGTGGAGGGATTATGTCTCTCGCCTGGCCTGGGAGTGCCTGGGAATCCCCCCGGAGGAGCTGGTGGACGTGGCTGGGGTGAGGGCCGTCTGGGCTGCTGCCTCCGCAACCTGGACCCGGATGAAGCGGAAGAAAATGAAGACTTTATCATTTCCTTGAAGTAATAATCACCATATTAATCATTTTGCACTGCAGATGCCGTAGTTCTTCTGTTTTAGCGTCTTAGTCTGATTGCTGCAGGGTGACGCGGCTCAAGTAAGAACATCTATGATCATTTCCTCATGGAAATGCAATCAGACCGAGACGCTTAAACAGAAGAACTATCGCGTTTGCAGTGCAAAATGATAAATATGGTGATTATTATTTAAAGGAAATGATAAAGTAATGATCATAAATGTTCTTCCTTGAGCTGCGTCACCCCGCTGCAGTTGCTGGACTCGCCTGGAGGTCTCGCTACAAACAAGCAGCTGCTGGAAGAGAGTAGGTGAGTTGTGTTTAGTCTCTTTGCTAAAGAAATCAGGCAAAACTAAAAAGATGTTTGATGGCTAGTACTATGGCTAGGACCCCATCTGTACTGTTGATCAAGTTAGGTGCTGTTCTGAGCATTATTTGTGGTCGTTACTAAAGTTGGTATAACTAGAGGAGCAAGTAGTCATCTCAACATTCATTCATCTCTCGAGGGGGTGTCTAACTCGGTGTTGCGGTGTGTTTGACCTTAAATTAATTTTACGCTGGAATATCCCTTTAACTTTGCAAATGTAACATGTGCTTCTTTTTGTTTCTCTGTCTTACTCTTCATTACGTCACCTACAGTAAGCAGCCGACTCTTAAAAAAACTCAATTATTTGTTCTTAGATTGAAAGATAGGAAGCATGGAGCCTGCGTGCCGTAAAGACAAACCAAAGCTGAACTCCACCCCAACAAGAGGAGACAGAGCGAAGCAGAAGTCTGCCCAACAAGAGCTAAAACAGCGACAGAGAGCAGAGGTAATCAACATGACACTTAATTCAGTATACAGCAGAACATTATGCTCCAGATACTGTATATTGTATTTTTCGTTGCTTTTTACTTCTGTCTCTTTTCACCAGATTTATGCCCTGAACAAGGTGATGACAGAGTTAGAGCAGCAGCAGTTTGAAGCCTTTTGTAAACAGATGCAGTCACAAGGAGAGTGATGGCCCATACCCGGACTGCCTTCTTTCATTTGGACCTGTCAGTCTGTGAATATACTACATGCACACACTGTTACAGACCTACAACCACATGCTCCCTGATGTTTAGTGAGACAGTTTTAGAGACTACACTTTCTGACCCGGTAACATGTATGCGAGAGGAGTGAGTGTACAAGATAGCAGACCTACATGGCAATAAGTAAAGTTTGGGAAATTGTTCCATACGTGGCAAACAAAGAGGCAGCAGCAGTGTGTGTGTTTATGTCAAGTCAAATAAATAAGATGTGTTATGTTGTACAGCCAAAGACACATGCCCTGCTAAAACTGAGCTGATCAGACATTCAGAGCTTGTCACATGCTAAACTTTTATAAATACATCACCTTACAGATAGGTGCATGTGTAGATGTACATGAAGCAGAATATTGGTGCTTTTCAAAATTCATGTAAAACAAGTTGGTTTTTCAGACTTAATCCAGCCAAAACCATAAAGATAAAGAATAATTGCTGAGAAGCGGGGAAGCCTTGAGAAGATTCTGGGCGTTTTGTTGTGGAAAAAGAACATTTCAAGCATTGAAACTGAAATCATAACCAGCTTTATTAGTGAATAGATTCACACTGTCAAAGAATTTTTAAGTAAAAGTATTGCTACAAGAAGCATCAGGAAAGACCAACAAGAAAAAGAAAAAAAGTTTATTTTATGATTAACATTGAACCTTATTTTTCAAATGTGACAAAGACCTGCACGGATATGGTTTGATGCTATACGGCAGCTGTGCAAGGCTTCAGCCAAAACCCTGCAGCAATTTCATTGCTTTTATTGCAATTTTATTTGATTAAATCTGGAATGCTCTTGTTTAGAAATGTTGAAACCAGTGCACATTGTATTTTGCAATGTTACACTTTTTAGTAAAAGTCTTTTCTCTGAACTCTCTCTATGAAATATCTTTGTTGGCCAGAAACAGGTCTGTGCATTATTGGTGTTGTTTAGGCTCAATTCCCTCTGTTGGATGATAAGTTTTAATTACACGGCGAATATAAACCTGTTTAAAAGTTAGATGTTATTTTTCTTATCTTGAATAGATCAGGTTAAAATGTTCCCATAGTTCTGTGCACATCGCCATGATTCCTGGTTATTAACCTCTCTTTTTTCCCCCTATAAATGTGCTCATCACTCATTGAGCAACAAAACATCCACACTTAACTTAGTGACTTAAAAAGAATTGAACATCATCAGTAAAGTTTTTGATTATTATTCATTATTAACAGATATACCCAGATGGTGGTTTGTTTGGCCTGTCATTAAGGAGTGTACTCCCATGGACAATGGCAGTAGCAACATTTATTTCAGCCTCCCATTAAGTTAAACCATATCTAGTGAAATTGAATGCTGTATTCTGAAGTGCCCACCACTGGCCAGTTTTACCCAAACAGTGTGTCCTGTCCAAGTCAACAAGTAATACACTAAAAATGCGAAGAACAACAAGTAGAAGGAGAATGTAGCTAGCAATTAAGTTGCAATTTCTTATTTATTTCCATTAATTCCTGCTTCTATTCTCCTTCTATTAACATTTGTGTTTTAAAGAGCAAGTGTAACCCGAACACCTCCCACCCCCATTCTGATTTACCACCAAACTGCCCCTTACATGATGCTTTCAAGCAGCCTGTGCCCTCAGTGAACATACCACTGATAATGGTGCTCACTCTGAACACTGTTTTGTTGTTTAATTATTCATTTTGACTTCCACATTTACAAGTTTTGACATTCAAATTCACGTATACCTATGTTTTCTATTTGTAAGATATTTTGTTATTAAAAGGACTTTGTCACTCACTTTTGATTTAGAGTTTTGATTTAAAATTATTTTCATTTTGAGCTTTTGTTTAAGGGTGACTGCGTTTGATCCTTTTGGACTGGTAGGGGATTTCTGGATTACGTGGTGGCCATCATGCTTTATGAAAGGTAGGTAGTTTGTGGCTGTACTTTCTTCATCTTTTTCAATTCCTCATTGTTTTCTTCATGCTGATGCTAATGAGCTGTTGTACAACATGCATAGTATGAAGATTTGTAGCTGATATTACAGAGTGATGTTAAATATTTAAGTCTGATTTATTACTACGACATTGCAACAGTTTGTTATTTCTCAATAGCTTTACTAGGAAGAACTATTAACATAGCTCGTAATTGATTTCATTTCAGGAAATATGAAGTTAAATGTTAGTATTTTAAGTTAGGTCATATGCTTTTTTCACCACATAGAGCGGAACTCTGAAAACGACCTAACAAAGTCCTAAATAGGTTGAGAACCACTATCGCAATATTTCTGCTTTTTTTGCCCCTAATTTTTTAAACTTTAAATGGTTTTTAGTGTAGGTAATTTTACTTCAAAACAACATCATGTCTGAATAAATTAGAGTAAAAAAAAAAAAACTAAACATTTAGAGCTGCTTCAACCACTAAACACATCATTTAGTCAAACAGTGGGGTAAGTTACAGGGCAGAGGTAGCAGTTAAGAGACCTTGAATTATGACTTTTGCAAGCAGCAGTTTAAAAATCTCTAAAGTTAGTTGAGCACTCATGCTACAGCTAGGAGCAGGGGTTTCTTTCTTCTGTTCCTGCAGTCTTCATAGCAGCATTACGTTTCCACAGCATCAGTAGTATTGAATGAGGCAAAGCTGGTTCCCTAAACACCTTGAGACCAACACTACTCCCGATCAAACATCCACAGTAATAGAGCTTCCAGTCACCCTGACTCCAAACCAACCATCCCAGAACTTGGTGTCTTGTCCTCCGTGCTCAAAGGAGATGAAACGCATCCCAGGGCCGTAATCCATAAATGTGTGGGTTACCTGGAAATTGAAGAGTGAAATATCTGCTGTAATGCGCACAGTCAGGTGAATTAGGAAGGGACTGTCCGCACTCATTTTCAGTAAGTTTTAGCTGTAGCATTAGCCCCAAAATAACATGTCTCAAGTCAGATTATAGCACATTTTTGAGACAATAGTAAGGCCACAAAGAAGCAAATCAGCCAAGATGTTGTTGTGGAGTAGCAGGTAGGTGAGAGAAGTCAGAGGTTAATTAACAAGTAAACAAAAGCTCCCTTTCTTTATGTACCTGCTTCCACGAGCAGTCGTCACAGTCGGGGTCAAGAGTCACTGGCTCAGGTTTGAACTCTGCTATGACCTCCTGATTATTATCCAACAGACAGACGGTCATCTGGTAAGTGCAGCCACAATCTGTCCTCCCACAGTACCTTTAGAAGAGAGGAGACACGTTACTCAATGACATGGGTCACATAGCAAATATCCTCAAGTCCGCCTTAGCCCCCCTGCCTTACCAGTCTTCCACTGTGACAACAGGCTGAGCATCCAACTGTTCGTCAGAGTAACCTTCAGCGGTCAGGTCAATCACCTGTCTCTTCAGACACAGCCTGGAACAACACAGAGTTTGTGTCAGAAAGCTGGACTCACCAGAGGGTGACAAGAACTTCATATTGGGGGAGTATAAGATCAGACAACTGCAGAAAAAGTGTTGGTTTTGTTGGGCAACAAATGAGGACATATTGCAGTTATTAACACTCACTCAAAGGAAGTTGCAAAGTATCTGGTAACTCCATCACTGCAGAAGTCGAAGCCACAGTCTCCTGGCATGTCCTCCACCTTCCACTGGCTCCCACCATTCTCTACCAGTTCCCAGAACTCCATCTGCTCTGAGAAATAATCACACAGTCTAAATACGGTTGTTATTAGCAGTATTAAAGTATGTACACTCTAACATGAATAATATCACATTTTTACCAAAAAGCCACTCTATAGCCACAAATAATGCTCAGAACAGCACCTAACTTCATCAACAGGACATATAGGGTCCCAGCCATAGTACTAGCCATCAAACATCTTTTTGGCTTTGCGTGATTTCTTTAGTGAAGAGACCAAACACAACTCACCTACTCTCCTCTAGCAGCCCCTTACTTGTGGGGGAGTCCTAATGAGTCGATCACTGAGTGCAGCGGAGTTTCGCAGCTCAAGGAAAAACATTTCTGATTATTACTCCATTGAAATGCAATCAGACCGAGATGCTAAGGCAGAAGGACTACCTTGTCTGCAGTGCAGAATGATTAATATGATGATTATTACTTCAAGGAAATGATCTGCTGTACTCGGTGATTGAGTCATCAGGGCTCTCCCACAAACAAGCGGCTGCTGGAAGAAAGTGGGTGAGTTGTGTTTGGTCTCTTTGCTAAAGAAATCAGGCAAAGCTAAAAGATGTTTGATGGCTAGTACTATGGCAAGGACCCTATATGTACTGTTGATGAAGTTAGGTGCTGTTCTTAGCATTATTTGCAGCTATAAGTGTTTTTTTTTTTGGTTGAGGTTTGCGCGTGGAGTGATAGACTGCTGTGTATTGCTATTGTGCAGCTGTTACTAAAGTTGGTATAACTAGAGAAGCAAGCAATCAGCAACATTTATCACTTGAGGGGGTGTCTAACTCAGTGTTACAGTGTGTTTGACCATAATTTAATTTTACATTGGAGTATCCCTTTAAGCATACACCCTTCTGTACTTTCTGAAGTGTTCAGCTAAACAAAATTAAACCTTACCTTCCCCACTGGGATTCCTCAGGAGGTTTCTGGCCATGATAGCAGGTTCACCACTGAAAGCAGGGCCTGGACAAGAGTAAGAGGAAACACCCCATAGATCAGTAACGACCCACGCTGCAGCTTCTTATTGATTTCTGGACACATTTGGACCATCACCTAAGCGTGCCAGCACTCTTTCTGTCTTTGTCTCAAACCCGTGCACAATCACAGAAGTAAAGCAAACATGAAAGCTTCTGACTAAATAAAATATAAGGAAGGGTCTATAAATAAAGTCTGATCACAGTTCTGGATCCAACGTAAGAAGTTAAAAATAAAGCAGCAGCCCACATGCGGCTGAACCCAGCAGAGCATAGCAGGCCAGGTCCTCTACAGATTCCAGACCTAAACAGTAATACCCTGTGTGCTGACTCACAACACAAATGATGGGCCAAAGCCTTTCCTCTCAATGCGCTGAATGGGAGGTATCAAAGAGGATCAGCCTGTCATCAAACCAACATCAGTCAGCAGGAATACAACCTGGGACCAAGCTGCTGTCTATTTGGGGTTGGATTATAGAGGAATGACCACTGATTTTATATATTTCTTTACTCAGTCACACCACTCTTGTCTTATGTGTAGAGTTAATGCAGCTTCAAAACTTTATATATTTTTTGCAACAACTCTAGTATAACAGTAACTATAAAAGCATTATGAGAAACTTTAAAAGTATCTGTCTATTGTTGTAAGTTACTGATGAATGAATGGTTAACCTCCTTTTCTCTAGCACAGAACAGAGGAGGCTTTGTGTGCATCAAACAGCACCTAGCTGCATGTCTGCCCTGTACTGTTGTCATTGCTCACTGGTGCTTCCAACAAAAAAAAAGCTGAGTCATCTGGCTCAAAGTCTGAGGAATTTCAATTACAAGGAACTCATTCCGTATTTTAAAGGACACCTGCTTCTATAACTAAAAAAGCAAGACAGAAAACAGTACTCACAGCAAGAGGAAGGAAATTGCAGTCTTCTCTTTCGACTGTCTCTCTCTCCAAGTTACATTTGAGCTCCACCGCATTAGAGCGCCCTCATGTCAATGTTGCCACTACAGCCAGAGAGAGAGAGAGAGAGAGCACACACACACACACACACACACAGAACGAAACAAGGGGAGAGAGAGAAGGAGGAGGAGAGACACCAAACACCCAGGCTGTGTGCTGGGAGGGAGCCTCCACACAGTGAAACTCAGCAGAAACATACATGCGCACACTCAGCACAAATGTCAGTGCAAGCAAAAGCATGAAGCCCAGCAGTGAAGGAAGTGGAGGCTGCACACATCATTGGCACAATAAACACTCAGCAAATCTGTGCTTTTTACCGGCCTAACAGTGGGTCAACAACTGGTCCAACCGTGCACACTCAAAGTTTGTCCAACCAGCTTAATAAGAAGGGCATAGAGTCAAAAGCTGATCAGTAAAAAAGTGCCCCATAAGGGTTGCAAAATCAATCCATATGGTCAATTTGGAAAATCTTTATGTGAGGAAGCAATATGATGTTTTCAGCAGCTAAACTGAAATGAAAAAGAAGATTATAAAACATGTAATCTGCACATAGAAATCAGAAAATATAAAGGAAAAAGCAACTTTTATCATAAACGTGATTTTTCAAACACTTTAGATAAGGCAGAAGGCAGGTGACATTTGTTTTAATGGTGACTGTCTCTTTTATTCTCTAAGTACAGAGAGATCCTGTATCATCACTTGGTAGAGAGAAATGTGTTAATGTAAGAACTGTAGAAGAATGACCTGGCTAAAATTCCTGTGAGGATGCTAAAATTTCTGCCTCATCACTTCTGAAATGTTGTGAAAGACAAGCTGTCCAAAAATGAGCTTCTTGTTCTTCTAGCTAGATCCCACCATACAACCGCGGATTGAGATCCAGCTTGAATCAAATGAACTTGTCTTCACTGAGTCTGCTCAGGATCTGGTTGTCATGATTGACGACCAGATAACCTTATTCAGGCGTAAAATTAATTTATCAAGCAGTTGGCAACATTCATCTCTCGAGGGGGTGTCTAACTTGGTGTTACAGTGTGTTTGATCCTATCCCATTAATGATACTGTGAGACTGTGAAACATGTACAGCTAAGGAAATATCACTCATGTTGCTTTTGGACTAAGATTTTTTTTGTCACCACAAATCACTGCTTTTGATATCTGTATGTTTCATAATCAGTTAAAATTCCTCACAGTGGTTTTAAATGAATTAGATTGATCCAATTTGTTGTTAACAATCCTCATGTTTTTATTTTCAGATTTAACACAACACACTTTGTAACCTAATGTAGAGTAATGAAGCAACGAGTCACCTGGGCGGATCATATCAAGCGGGTAGAGGGTAAGTGCAGGAAAGTGTTGAATGTGATGAGGTGTCTTGCAGGCAGAGGATGGGGGGCGAGCTGTGATGCATTAAAAACAGTATATGTAGCTATGATAAGGTCAGTTATAGATTATGGGTGTATAGTATATGGCTCAGCAGCAAAGTCTCTTCTAGGAAAGTTAGATACGATCCAGGCAAGTGCATTAAGGATCTGTAGTGGGGCCTATCAGTGCCTGCAGTACAGGTGGAGTTGGGTGAGATGCCGCTATGCTTCATTGCAAACTATTGGATTAGTTTGAAGGGCAGCAGTGGTACCCACCCCACAAAAGGAGTGATAGAGGAGTGTTTGGGAGGATGGGAAAGGTAAGAGGGATCATTTTGGTAGGATGGGGAATAGAATAGCAGCAGAGCTTGGGGTGGGTGGGATGGAGGTAGGCCTAACAGTAGTGTATCCAGCAATGCCGCCATAGAGAATGGTATGACCAGCAGTAGATTGGAGTGTAATAGGAAGGAAAAGGAAAGAGGGAGGACAGGTAGGCTTGGTTAGCGTAGTTAATCAACGCCTGAGGGAAGAGTACAGCGGCTTTGTTCAGGTATATTCAGATGGGGCAAAACAACCTGAGACGGGGGTGACAGGATTAGGGGTAGTGGTGCCATCGAGGGGAATTGAGATCAATCGAAGGACATCAGATGGTCTAGCGGTAAACACAGTGGAGATGTTGGGGCTGTTGGTTGCGCTGAAATGGGTGGAAAAAGTTAGAGTAAAGAGGGTAGCTATATGCACGGATTCAGCGTCAGTTTTAGCTAGCATTAGATCGATCCATTCAAGCAGCCGTCAGGGTTTATTACTACAGTCAGTGATAAGAACAGATTTACCAGCACATATAGGGGTGGCAGGAAATGAGAAGGCAGACGTGATGGCTAAGGAGGCATTAGGGAAGGAATCAGTGGAGCTGAATGTTAGGTTAAGTAAAGCAGAAGTTAAGAGTATGATATGGGTAAAGCGTATTCAGATGTGTCCGAAGAAATGGGAGGGTGAGAAGAGAGGAAGGCACCTGTATAAGATTCAAAAGAGTGTTAAAGTTAGGAGACTGGGTAGTGGACAGAGAAAGGAAGGGTCAGCATTGATAAGGTTGAGGTTAGGTTATTGTGCATTAAACAAAACACTGAAGATGACAGGGAAACACCAGACTGGGTTATGTGAAGGATGTCAGGTGGAGGAGTCAGTGGAGCATGTTCTAATGGGTTGTAGGAGATATGAGACAGAAAGGGGAGAGATGAGAAATAAGTTTAGGGAATTAGGTATGCAGGACCTTACACTAAAGGGAGTATTACAGATGGGGGACAGGTCACATGTGAGAGTGTTAGTCGAGTTTTTAAGGGTGACGAGGTTGATTGATAGGATTTAGTCTGTATGAGATGGGAATGGGTGGTGCACAGGTTTTTTTTTTTTTGTATAAGGACTGTCAGAAGAGGGCGTTAATGCACCGTACACAAGAGTTCCAACTGCCGTTAAACCAAAAAAGAAGAAGAAGAACGAGTCCCACATGCATAGATATATAGAAAGACTAGATGGATGATGGGACTTTTACCCGCGTCGTCACCGAGCGGCCATCTTATCTAGGGGGACTCCTCCCGCGCACTCAACAGCAGTGGATGGAAGGTGAGCGACCTACACAAACAAAAATACACTTAACTCGCTGAAATCGCTGGTTTTATATTGTTTAATAACCCAAAGAAAATAATTAAGACTATTAGAAAAGGGAAATGTCTTATAAAATTATTTTTCATCAGTAAATACATTATTTGTTAAAGTTTTAAGATTAAGTTTAAAATATCATGTGGGTCAACTTACCCCTTTATATTTAATATATGTATTAAATAGAACTATAAACTATCTAACTATTAAATGTTTAATATCAAAAACACTGACAATTTAATTTCACTGTGTGTGTATGTGTGCAGCTATGGCAGGTATTGCTCCACTATCTCCTTTTTTAATTTAATATGAAAGTCCATGGTTATAATTATCCATAAGTGTGCAGAAACATAACTACATCTCTGGCGTTTATAACAAACCAATCCGTTTGAAAATCAGTTGAAATTTGAGCAGGATATGGTCATGGAAACAGTACATGCACCATAGACATTAATGTTATCAGTGGGCCAGCAGCCCCTAGGTAAGATGGCCGCCCTGTGACGACGTCAGTCCCCATTGGCTCACAGCGTAGGTAAGCTATCTATAATGTTTCTATATATCTATGCCCACTTTTGTCCTGGAACGTGAACGCAGCACTGCGACAGTTAACCCGGAAGTGTACGTCCCTTGTTTTGTCTTAGCAACAAAACAGTCTGTTAGCGGTTACTCTGCTGTGTCTGAGGACTTATTCTTTCGCAGACTTCTCCTTGTATTACTAAAATGGTATGATATGGCATCTTTCCATAAATATTTAGTCGTTACAGTTGTAAAAACTATACCTAAAACATCTCTAAAGACACTGTTGAATGGCTTCCTGGTGCTAATCGGGCGTTGTCAGTTTAGCATGATACAGAGTGCGAGGACCATCTATGGTTAGGACTCTTTGTGTGGCAGATCATGTTTGTAACCTTTGTGAAAGTTGCTTCCCTTGAATTTGGGTGTCACATCTTTTGCTTTTTATGCCACTGTTGACTTCACGGTTCAGTTAAATCGTGCTGGTGCTAACTGATGTTGGTGTTTCTCAGGCTGAGGTGGAGGAAACCCTGAAGAGGATCCAGGGACAGAAAGGGGTCCAGGGGATCATCATCGTCAATGCAGAAGGTGACACAACCAAAACAACATTCAGAGTTATTTTTCTTCCATCTTATCCTCACTAAAGCTGGTCCCAAAGTCTAGGGTCTTAATGCCAATAATTAATTTAATTATCAATATTTTCCTGATTACTTCTTACAACAAATTTTAAGTGACAGAATAAAGATGTGCTGTCAACTCAGCCATAAAATACAACCTCAGTCCCCTAAGAATTGGGATGTTGTGTAAAATGTAAACACACACACACACACACACACACACACACACACACATATATATATATATATATATATTTTTTTTTTTTATGGTTTGATTGATGGTTTGCATATTACCAGTGGGCTATATTTACATGAAAATCGTGATAAGACATCAGATCAAATGTTGAAACTTACGATGTTTTGGAAAGAGCTAATTTTAAAGCTGCCAAAAAAAGTTGCAAATTAAAGCTCCAGTGAGGAACTCTTTGTCTGTATTGACTCTGGCGCCCCCTCTGGACAAAGCGATAACCCTTTTAATGTTGCTGAGTTTGTCTTATCCTTGCGAAAATGATGGCTGTATGTTTCTTGTCTCTCCACTTTTGTCAATGAAAATAAGTTATAGATAATTTCTAAAACATTAAAAATAGCATCCAAAGTATTAAAAGCAGATAAGTGGTTGAAGATGGATGGATGGATTATATTTCAATCTACACTGCTCAAAATACAAAGGGAACACTAAAATCACACGTCCCAGCTCTCAATAAATGAAACATACCAGTTGAAAATCTATATTGATACTGTAGTATAATCAATTAAGAATAAAATAACATAAGAAAGATCAATGGAGACTAAAATTCATGGACTCACCGAGGACTGGTATGAACCATCTTGATGGGATCAAATCGAAATCACAAGCTGATCCAGCTTCTGTAAATTTCCTTAACCCAGCTCATCATGTGGCTCAGTAGTGTGTTTGGCCTCCTTGTGCCTGTATGTGCTCCTACAACTTTTGAGCATGCTCTTGATGAGCCAACTTGTGGTCTCCTGGGGGGGGGGGGGGTCTCCTCCCAGACCCAGATCAGGGCATCAGTCAGCTCCTGGACGATATCAGGTGTGACGTGGTGGCAGCAATGATCCATGGTGTCCCAGAGGTTCTGATCTGGATTCAGGTCTGGGGAACATGTAGGCAAGCCAATAGCATCAGTGCTTTCATCATCACACTCCAGCCATATGAGGCTTGGCTTTGTCATGCACCAGAAAGAACCCAGAGCCCACCAGCAGGTCTGAGGGTGTCATTGCAGTACTTTACAGCAGTCAGGGTACCTCTGGGTAGCACGTGGGGGTCTGTGTGAAGTAAACCTCTACAGATATGCCTCCCCAGATTGCTATTGAACCCCTGCCAAACTGGTCATGCTGGAGGATGTTGCAGGCAGCAGAAGGTTCTCCACAGTGTCTCCAAACTCAAATCTGTCTTGTGCTCAGTGTGAACCCGCTCTCGTTTGCAAAGACTACAGGGTGCCAGAGGCCAATCTGCCAATTTTGGTCTTCTCTGGCAAATGTTGATCAGACCACATGGTGCTGGACTGTGAGCACAGACCCCTCTTGTGGATGTTGGGCCCCCGTGCCACCCTCATGGAGTCATGTTCTAAAAGTTTGGTCAGAAACATGTGAACAAGTGGCCTGATGGAGGTCATTTGGTGGAGCTCTGTCAGTGCTTCTCCTGTTCCTCCTCGCTCAAAGAAGCAGATGGAGGTCCTGCTGCTGGGTTGTTGGCCTCCTCCACCTCTCCTGGGGCCTCATGTATCAACGCTTGCGGCGCAAGAAAACCTTGCGTACGCCAAAATCGGCGCACACGTCCAGATTTATCATCGCGAAACGAGCGTCGGTTCCAGCGCTAATCAACGCAAAGTCAGGAGGTGGTGTAGAAATTGGCGTTGAGCTGGATATTTGCGTTGACTGTGATTCGCACTTTGGCGACGCTGTGTGGCGGTGTTTGGTGACTCACTATGTGACAAGCGTGCACCACATCCCCGTGGCCGGGCAGCACGTCGCCCCACATGACGAACCAGCAGCAGACGGAGGGATGCGAGCTGATCCCTGCCGGGCCGCCGTCCTCGCGCGGGAGAATCTCATCGCCACAGTGTGAATGGGTAAGAAGTGAATACACAGTTCAATGAGCCAAATTAATTTATTTTCTCCACCAGACGCTCGAGGAAATTTACGAGCCGGTCCAGCCGCTCGTTGATCCCCGCGATCCCCCTGATGATTTCTTCCTGCGATTGCAGGACCCCCTCCGCGAGGACCCTTCCACTGCGTCCGGGTGGTCCAGCGGAAGCGCCGCGGCTGGTGGACGCTCCACCGCTTGTCGGCGCGCTGGTGCTGATGCTGGTGCTGGGGCCGGGGGCCGGGGTGGCCCGAATGCCGCTGGTCCTGGCCGACGACTCCGAGCCGGCGGACGGGCTGCCGCGGGCCAGGGTTCCGCAAGCCGGCGACACGGCCGACACATCAATTTCTGTGACACAATAAAAATATTAGTTCATTTCAATTCCTGCTTCTGTGTATCTGTTGCGTTTACATCTCTCTCCACTGTATCATAGGTAATGTAATCCAGTATTTCGAGGTCAGTTATGCACATTACAGTTGTTTATTGCATAAAAAGTTATCGAAAAATGAAGTTAAGGGCGAAGTATAAATCACGTCTAAAAATAGACTGAATCCCGACGTTGAAATGAAGTATAAACTTAGACTAGACGTCTAATATACGTCTTTTGCTCAGTGGGACGACAAAGCATGTGGACATTTGTGTGACACGCCACTTACCTTATAATAATAATCGCCACCACCCGCTGCTCAAACGGTGTGAGGGTCTCCTCCCCCGGACCCCCACCTGTCTGGCCGGTACTCCTCCGGAGGGCAGCTGTACGCCGCTTGACCTCCACCTTGAGGTCCGACCACTTTTTTTTAATCTCCGCGGGGGTGCGTGTCTCGGAACCCACCGCATTCACCCTCTCGCAAACTTTCTCCCACTCCAAGCGTTTTTGTTTTGCACTGACGCCACTGGACAGGCTGCCAAACAAAACACGCTGTCGCTCCTCCACCTCGCACGCCGTAAATGTAGTTTTTCTTGTCATTTTGTCTGCGTGCGAGGACAGGGAGACCCTATTTAAATAAATCTGCATATTTATAGGAGGGCGTAACGGGGACGGGCCCAGTCACTCCGACATCTGCGCTCAATTCCACGCTGATTGGGATTTATCAAGGAAACACACGTGGATTTCGGCGCCCGCACACATTGATACATACGGATTTTTTTCAGCGTGACGGACCTTGCGTGCGCTCGTTTCTGGTATGAGTTCCACGCAAGTGTTGATACATGAGGCCCCTGGTGTGCTAGTCTGTCTCCTGGTATCTCCTCCACACTTTTGACACTGTGCTGGGAGAATACAAAAAAACAATCTCTTCATTTAAGTTTTTGCCATGTAGAAAGACTGCAAATAGAAGGTGACAGTTCATATCATTGTAGCACTTCTTTATGAACAAGATGGTATATTTCTACTTTTTGCTCAATCGTCTAACTTTTTGGTTAAAGCACTTACTTGTTTTGTTGCTCAGCACCAGTTTGACAAGAGTCCCTGTTGTTTGTGGTTACTTCTACATATGTGGGAGTGGCAGAAATATCTCAGGGGTTCAGAGAAACAAACTATTATGACTATAATAGTCAATTTCTTTTAAAGAATTGATTTATTGGATTGGAAACATACAAATTAGAGCTGGACTGAGCAGAGATTACCACCATTTGCATCAGTAGGAAATAAACCACATGGATTGTGCTTATTTCCATTTTGTCCTTAACTTAGATTAAGTTAACTGTCCCCTCTCTCCTCAGGAATCCCTATCAAGACAACCATGGACAACACCAGCACAGTGCAGTATGCCGGACTGCTTCACCAGCTGGTGTTGAAGGCTAGGAGCACCGTACGAGACATCGACCCCCAGAATGACCTCACCTTTATGCGAGTGCGCTCCAAGAAGAATGAGATCATGATCGCACCAGGTGAGAGCGACAGAAAAAACTCTTTTGTGAGAGATTGAGGGAAAACTAAAAGCATTTTTGTTCCACCTTCAGGCCACATCACACCTGGAAATGATAAGAATGGAAGTTTGAAAACAGCGTTATTCAAAACAAAGTAAATGTTTCCTGATCATGATAATTGATTTTGCTGTCTGCCTCAATGGAGTTATTTTTTAAACTGTATTTAAAAGGCTGTTTTTTGATCTAAAGTGAATTAAGTTGCTGTCCAAGTGAACATGTTGTGACCAGAACAGGAGTTGTATGTTTTGCTTGAGGATGCTCTAACTGTCCCCTTAATGATAGCTAACATAAAATGTCCAACCAACACACACAATTAAGAACATAACTAGCTAATAAAAAGGCAGTCTTAACTATTCACAGCAATTTCAAACTAGAATTTGTTTTATTTTCAAAATAAAGATTTCTTCAAGACCCCCAGACTGTAGCCTGTGCCAAAATGAAAGTAAAGTTCAGCTGAATCTGAAGAGTGACTGAGGCATTTAGGTTTGATCAGGCTGAGAGAATCTTACAAAGTACAAGTCTGTGTCATATGAGATTCCCTCTGTCTGGGCTCAGCCGGAAAGTACAAAGAGAGACATTCATCTTTACAAGACCACAACCTCTTAAGATACCAGCGTGATCAGACTGACTTGGCCTGCTGAATCCTCACATCAGCTTCAGTGTTCTGCAAAGAGTCTGTTTGACTAAGAGACAGAGGAGTGGATTTCTCTCCTCGTGCTGTGAAGTAACTTAAGAATAGGTTTTCCTTGCGTCCAGATTGAGCTCAGCAGTGTTGTTTTCGTCAACGCCAGCATCAAAAAAGGGAAATATTTTCATCAACGAGAACAACACTGGTTGTTTTCGTTGACGAAAATATTTCCCTTTTCTTCCACGACGAAGACGTAACGTTGACGAGCTAAACATAAGTCGGAGATGACTAAAATGTGACGAGACGAAAGTGCGTTTACGTTGACGGGACGAGACGAAAATGACGAACAGAGTTGCAAAACTCAGTCAGTTAAACGCTAAACATATAGGAGCAGCTTCAGTCCGCTCTGACAGCTCTCATCAGCCTGCTGTGCTCCTCCAACACACAGACACACACGCGCGCGCACAAACCTGGAGGCAATCGCAGCCTCCAGTAACATTTTTTAAGTATATATCAGTTGTAAGTGCTGAATTCAAGTCAACTTTAACAGATGTGGGTGAAGGGTTAGAAAAAAAATGATTCTTTACATCTGTTTGCATATTTTTTTAAGAACTGGGTAATCAAATAATAATTTTAAAAAAACATCTGAATGCATAATGCAGATGTACGAAAGCGTATTGCATTCACCAAAAAAACTCTATTCTCTGGGATCATGATCATTTAATTCATTTACAGACGCTTTCATCCTCCTCTGCTTCATTTATTGGAAGCAAACATGGCCCACTTGTTCAGTTTAATCAAGTTTTACTTTGTTTAGGGTTTGAGACACTGGGAGATACTCCTTTCTTCAAGTCAGATAGATGGAATCATCCTAAGTTCGTCTACTTTGCGCAGGCACCTCAGGATTTGCATACCCTATGTTTAACTAATAACATGCTTTAGTCTCATTGACCCCGTAGTCAAATTTATCAAGAGACTGGAGGATCCGATGATTTGGAGCAGCTGCGGTGGTTAACGTTATGTGATTGTATGAGATTCTCACGTGGTTTCGAAGTATCTCGTTTAGTCAGGAAAAAAAATAGTCTGAAAAACAGAAAGACGAAAAAAAATAGAACAGAGAAAATAAAAATTTGTCCAAAAAACAGAAAGAGGGGAAAAAAATATTTGTACGAAAAAAAAAGTCAGAAAAGCAGAAAAAAAAATATTAAAAATTGTCTGAAAAACAGCAAAGAAAAACAATACTGAAGAAAACAGTTTCCTCTTTATTGTAAGTGAATGCAATATGCTTTTGTACAGATGTAAACATTTCCTCGTATGACCAATAAGGTGGCGCATTAATGTGCACCAACAAAGAGCTTTAGCTGTCTGCCAAAAAGAAGTACTCTGAAGTGGCATAAATAGACAGCAAAATAGCTTTATCCAGTGTTTGTGAAGCACAGGTGGTGTGAGGAGGAGCCAAACAACTTTTCTTTTACACCTTCAGTTCAACTGTGCGCCCCAAAAGCCGTCATCTTGAAGCACTTTGAAATTCTGAAAAGCAGGAATTAAAGTGTCAATGACAGCAAAAACAGTCAGTCACTAAACTAGGGAGAAGCATGTGGCAATACAGTCAGACTCCTTAGTTGTGGTCCTTTACGCCTGCTGCCACATGTTATAAAATGGGGATTAGATGATGAAGCAGCTGACCCACTTGCAAGCCAACAGAAGCAGCTCACTGAGAGAAGATTTGGCACTTTTAAAACTGATGTTCATGATTTCTTCTAAGTAAGTTAGACCTCTTTGGGTCACTATTCAACTGGATATTTGAACTTGATAACCGCTCTTTCAACAGTTTTCATTCATTTCAGTAACTACTTCAAAATAAAAGCACTGTTTTGAAAAAAGCTACTTCAACTTAATGAAAGCATGACAAACTGTTTTCTAATAAGAGCTGGAGAAGTGCCGGTCACAGGGCTGGTAATAAATCATAAATATCATCATTATTATAAGAAACTGATGATGTATCAGGTAATTATGTTATCATAATAATATTGTCATCATGATATTTTATGGTGACAATAATTGTGAGGTGAAAGTCTTGATATGGAGACAGCCCCACACTCAACAAAAACAAAGTTATTAGTCATAACCTAAATCTTTCACTGAGCTCTGAGTAGGTGTAAAGTCCTCACAGCTTTTTACTGATTGGCTAAAATAGACTGAAAATAGTTTGGAAATTTTTCTTTATGGGTTAATTTGTAATAACAGTAACTGTATTTGTATAGCTCTCATAAAAAAAACAAGAGTCAACAAAGTGCTTTGGCAATTCACATAAATAAAACAAAGCAAAAAAGACAAAACCTAAATAGCAAAAAATGGAACTCATAAAAAAATTCAGCCAACGTTGGACCCAGGCTTCAAACACAGAATCCCAACTACATAAACAGAGACCTAAGGCCCAGAGATGAACGAGCATAGAGAGAGAGAGAGAGAGAGAGAGAGAGAGAGAGAGAGAGAGAGAGAGAGAGAGAGAGAGAGAGAGAGAGAGAGAGCGAGAGAGTGAGAGAGAGAGAGAGAGAGAGAGAGAGAGAGAGAGAGAGAGAGAGAGAGAGAGAGAGAGAGAGAGAGAGAGAGAGAGAGAGAGAGAGAGAGAGAGAGAGAGAGAGAGATCGGATCAAGGCAAGTCCATAAAAATGTATGCTCTAACTGATTTTAAAGAAGTGACTGATTATGGGGCTGTATCTCTTTAGGCAGTCCTGATGGTACAGACCCAATCTAAAGTCTCAACTTTTAGAATGACCAGGAGGCCTCCACCTTAGAGTCCAAGACTGTGGGCTCATGGGGGGTCAATAATTTCGTAAGTTAGCTTGGAGCCAGACCCATACGTGCTTTAAAATCAATTCTGAACTGTACAGAGAGTCAGTGGAGAGAAGCTAAGACTGCGGTGATGGTTAAACAGACCACAGTTTATTACACCTGCACTGCAGTTTTCCTCTATGGAGACACGGACTGGATTCAGCTTCCTGTCATGAAGATCATAATGATGCTTTCTTAAAAGGTGTGCCTGAGGATAATCTGATCATTAAGAGAGGATAGCTTTACTTACTGCTGTTTACTAAAAAAAGGAAAACTGTTGAGTGTCATAAACTCTGAAACTCTGACAGATTGTGAGTTTTGCTTTTCTAAGCTTTGACATGTTTTACCTGAAAACTTAAGTTAGAAAAACTGTATTTGTTGCTTATTCTGTTTTAAAAAATGTCTCTAAGTGTTTGACATTTAAAAATAAATTATTTGTTTCAGGGACTGTTAGGATTACACGTCTTACCTGCTCGTGAGTTTGTGTTGCCATGTGTGCTCTAAACTGCTTTGTTTCTTTCTCCACAGATAAGGACTATTTCTTGATCGTCATCCAGAACCCGTCAGACTGAAGAGGAAGAAGAACCTGCTGCTCTACGTTAATTTTCTTTGTCTGTCTCTCATATCAAAACAGCCAAACACTTTTCCTTATCTCGCTACTTAAAAGAGAACCTGTTTTCCTGCAGCTTTTTATGCACTTGTTGTTTCGGGAAACAATAACAGGATTTGAACATGGATCAGCCATCTGGCTATCACTCTGCAGCTACATGTCTTTTTTTCCCTGTTTTTAAGCATTCCAGCTCCCTTTAAATACACCCTGATATGACCTCTATTTTTATTTCATGTGCATCTTTCTGCAAACTCACAGAAAAGCGCCTCATATAGGAAACTGGACAAGTGATAATGAAGTGCGCTCAAGAGAGAGGCCACAAATTATCAATAACTTTGAAGGTGTTGCAAACTTCCAAAATATTACGAAACAGTTGTTTTTTATTTATTGATTTGGTGGCAGAAGAAGTGATGGTTAGTTCAGTATTTTACAGGTGGGCAGAGAAACAACACTACAAACATTTCTGCTCTTGCTGTATGAAGTTTCTGATGGTTATTTTTAACAAATTCAGAAATAAAAAAGGACAAAATGCTGCTGTGGTTTGTCATGTACTTTTGATTTTAGTTCAGTTCAGTCCTTTACCGTTCCTCAAGGGGAAATTTGTTTTGGAGTGCAGAACAACAGGAACAGATCCGACAACCAAGACATTTTAAAGACGTTTTTGTTTCGATCGTGATAGAACAGCTTCAGACGAGGTAACAAGACGCTGATTTTAACTTGCCTTTGTGATGCAAAAAATGAACATCTAAAAATTTTATAAGTTTCATTGTTTTTTTTGTGATCGGGGCTGTGAAATTAAAAAAATATATACAAATCACTTCTACACACTCTGACTTATAAACACATGAGACATTATTTAGTTTGGTTTTAGTAACACCCATAACAATGAGCTAAAAATGGCTTAAAGGTTGTGTATAAACTTTCACTGTAAGTGAAATTTATTTCTAATAGACAACCTCTTATATTACACTGTCATTTAGATGTTTAACAAATTTACAATTTACAGCAGCTTTTTTACTAGCTGATTTAACAGGAAAATAATCATTGTACTGACTCATAACAGAGAAATTCAGGTCAGCAGGAAACACTAAACTCTATAGCTTCAGCCACAAATAGGTCAGAACAACTGATTGTTGGTTAACTATTAAAAAAAAAAACCTAAAACCCTTACTGCTAAGTACTTTGACAGTTTTTGATCACACCTACAGTAGTGCCACTGTTTGTCATCCTTAATCAGCCAAGACGTCCGGGTAGGTGAAAAACGAGCAGAAAACACAGAGGACAAGTGCAAACAGATATCAACAGCAGAAGCTTCAGCACAGTAAATTTAAGTGAAACCTCTAGTTCTCTGTGGCATGTGCTGAAGCGGTGTAAAAATGTAAAGCAAATCTCAGGAAATCTTAAAACTATTCACCTTAAGAGTATGGGCATGACAACTCTATAAGAAAAATGATATAACATGAGTAGAAAATCTTTCAACTGTAATGGCATTTTTCTATTTTTTTTATAGAATTTATTATTCAGTGCTAGAAGATATTTTTGTTCACTTTCTAACCTTTCTTTGTCCTTTTTGAAATTTAACTTGAGTTAAGTTTAGCCAGTTTAACTTTAAAGCTCTTGTGAGAAACTCCCAGCTTTGGCTGAGCTTGCCAAACCCTCTGTGGACTAAGCAGGACCTCGCATCACCTCACTATTCTGTCTTGCACAAGTTAGTCTTATTCTGTAACACAAAATCTTTCTGTGCTTTTTTGAGGACTCAGACTAATGGAAAATACAGTGTATACAAAAAAAAATCAACAACTAGAATGAAGTAACAACTTTATGGAGATTGTCAGTCCTGTCGTTTACGGTCTTGTTTGCTTAAGTTGGTCATAAATAACCCTTTTTTCCACTAAAGTAAACCTGATACATGTCCTGGATCAGAGAGGGTTCAACCTCTGGCAGTTTGAGGCTTTTCTGAGTTCCAATATCTTCTCCACATGCAATGTCCGCAACAAGGCCAAATGATTTTCCACTAACACTTTAGCCTGTCTTCACTAACTTTGGGCTGGTTTCTAGAAGCATCAGTATTGATTCAGGCCCTTTTCAAAACCAGCTAAATACTCCTGGGATACTTCCTAGTAAGGTTGATTTTGGGGACCCCTGTGGACAAGGACAGATAGTTTATCTCTTTGTTGATCTTGTGCGCCACGTGTGATAATTGCTGTAGGCTATTCAAAAAAATTACTCCATCACACTTTTTAGCCCAGATTTTCACCTGCAAGTCACAATGAGGCAACGTTTTGTAAAGGATGTTCCTGCAGTGTGTTTTTGATCACCTAACCTGACACCTACACTATATCAAGAGGTGATAAGTGTGCAAAATAAATGTAGAAATCAATGAGACATTAGTGTTTATTTCAGTCTGTTTCGTAACCAGCTAAAAACTCCAGACAGAAGCTTTAACACCAAACTTTGCAGCCATTACAAGGCAAATGTTTCACGGGACTGCAGAATGCACTTACACCCTCTGCTGTAAAAATAAAGTAGTGTCCTCTTTATTTTTTAACTTTTCTTTTGTTTTTCTCCACGAGCTTTCCTGTTGTTGTATGTAATGATGACACAGCTTGGTATGACAACTGTGGCCATAAAACTTGCATCATTTCTTGTCAGTAAGAAATGACACAGCAATTAATGGCTTATCTGTGTGTAACGTGAATAGTGGTGTTTAAAAACTAGAGCTTTCATTGAATAAGTTGAATTATTGAAGTCTGATAGCGCCGAAAGCAGGATAGTACAGAAAGTACTTCAGTGGGTAAAATGGTGGGCGGCCCCTTTAAAATGAGCGGGTGACGTCAGCTCCTCGGTTTACTTGCTTTGTTTGTCCGGAGCTGTTTTGGCTTCAGACTGAGACTGAAGGGACAACCAGAAACATAACATTTTCTTTGTGACTGAGTCGCGCTGTGAGCTGTTGTGTTGCATATCAACAAGATTATAACTGTGTAATAACACTAACAGAGATGCCGTCCGACAGACCCTTCAAACAAAGGAGGACATTTGGTAAGAAACCACCAAAGCGGTATTGTCTGACGGGCTAATGTTAACTGCTTGAAGGGAAAAAGCTAGCTGGTGTTATGCCCAAAAGTGCTGCCATTCGAGATGTGGTACTGCTTGTTTTGTGCGCATGCGCTTGTCCGAAGCGAGAGCGTTATTTGACCGATGATATTACTCTGTTGTAACACAAGTCTCGTTAAATCTTAAACATAGATCATGTAGTAGAGAAAGAAATCACACTGAATGTATTCTTGTGATACTAATGAGACGAGAAATGGTTCATACAGCGAATTTGTAGTGGGGGCAGAAAATGGTCTATTTAGAAACTTTTCACGTACAAATTTGAATATAGATATGTCATGAGAGAGTACCGAAACACGCCTACCTCATTCTCACAGCACACATACTGTTTTTTGAAGTAAAAAATGTCGTTTTTTTGTCCTCGGCTAGGGATTTGCTCTGCTGTAGCATTTTGTAAGAGAGCAGCACAACTCGACGGAACACCGGCCTGCTAGCCACCTAGCTCACCTAGTTTGTTGACAGATGAAGTAACATGGTATTTTTGAGTTATTATAGTTGTTACAAAGGTTTCACAACTGGTTGAGTCTTGCTTTAATGGTTTATATTTTTACCAATACTGAGTGTAAATCTCGAGGCGCTAATTTTGAGCTAAATTTTAATTTTAGTAGCATTTTGATGCTTAACAACAGTGAAAAAACATCATGTCCTGCTAAATGTTACAGTAATTTATCCTGGTTGATCGTTTAGTATCTTTTAGTCTGTATGTTGTGCTATATTGTTGCCAGACGATATTTAAAGGCCATCTGGGTCACTGTCACATTAGCTTTGTAAGCCTCGAAGCTAGCAGGGCCTCTGTACTCAACCAGCCAGCTTCGAGATAACCTACCTGGACGACTTAAGCAGTAAACATTTCATGTTTGCTTCAAGGAAAAACAACATGTGCTGACACATTATCCCAGTACACGTGTTCAGTGATTTATGTTGTAATTTGATGCTAAAAGACGGCCCCTGTACTGGTTAGGGAGGAGCCCAGACTCTGTTCATTACATAATGTGGTCACACAGGGAAGTATGGAGATAAACAAGTGTGTCACAGATGAAGAAAACTCATCAGTTGAGTCACAATGTTGGTATAACATCTTAATCGTGCAAACATTATGCAGAGACGGTTATAATGTAACATAGTGACTAGCTGGCCTTGTCCTGACCTGCTAATCTGTGTTATTATGCGTTCACTGCTGTGTATTGGTGCGCTCTCTGCCACACTGACACACATCGCTCTGGTGTCTCACAAGAATGAAAACCGTGCCTGGGGTGAACAGATGGATTAGGTTACTTGTTGGATTAGTCAGTCGAAGAAGTCGTTAGGTTGATAGAAATGTTTTCTTAACAAAGGTTGGCAGGCCTACTGAGATGAGTATGCACACATACGGTGTTTGCAGCTAAAACACAGGATAAGACACTTGGGTCTATGCTTGGGTCTTGGCCCTTAATATAATAGTCCCTTTTGTGATGGCAAAAATTAAGGAGGCAGCCCTCCTTTTCATCGTACTAGAGCTTTATCAGCTGTGCAATACATTCAGATCCACTCTTGCCAAAAAGCACAGTTGCCTACATCAACTGGGGAGGAAAAAAACACCCCAAGACGAAAACAATGGAAGCATTCACGCTTCACTGTAGCACCTTAAAGCCCCCTGACCCTTGAACCCTGCCAGTATCGCTGAGGATTTTTGAAAAGGGTTATTTTTCACTCTAGAGAAGACAGTGTGGGTTATAAACCTAGATCAGGGGTTGTAAAACATCAGGAAGCTGAAGAGGGAAATTCTACAGGTAATATTTAAACTCAAATCATATGCAAAGTTGTGGACTCAATGTAGACTCTGAGTCTACTACACAGAGAAAGAACACAGGGATCTTCTTCAAACTTAAACAATCAATATGTAGCACCAATTAACCATTAAAATAAAATGGTCATTAGAACAGGGTCATTTTTTTCCATAAAGTAGTCTAAAAAATATTATCAAGTGCTGTAAAAAACTCACAACTTTTAATTTTAAGGATTATTTTATTCCTAATTTTTTGTGACGATTCAAGGGCCAGCAGAGTCGGACCACCAGGACAAAAAGGGTTTTTAATTTCACTTCAAAGTACGTGGGACTTTAGGTGTTGACAATAATGACTTGAACTTTGATCCCTGGAAAGACACTCATAGATGCTGCAATTGAGTTTTTCTCCTCACCTGACACTGACACTCAGGTCACTGAATCTTCCTACCTGATACTCAGTGTTCTTGTCCTCAATTCAGAATATTCACTGTGTATTACTCCAGTATTCCTTGTACTCTTGACTCTTATGGTTCAGTTTTTCTTTTTTGTTCTAACTTTTTGTCATTTTGTGTAACCAAAAAAAGTTTGGAGTATTTGTGAAGTGACTCAGAATTTTAGAAGCCAGAAGATGAGATAAAATGAAGATAATCCTGATTCAGTCATGAGATTATAAATAGAGGCAAGATAAAGAAAAGCAAGAGGATGGAGGATAGTGAGCATGACAGGCATCACAAAACCCGAATAGTTCAGTTCATAGTATATCATTTTCATAGCTGGCAAGGCAAGAATGATGACCTGTTTTCTCTCTTTACCTACATGCCAGTTTTTTTTTTTGCTTTGTAAAACAAATGAATTCAGTGGATGTGAGAATACAAAGAGCGACACAATTCAATGAATTTCTCTTCAACAAAGGTCTTTAAAAAAGCGATGAAGCTTCTTTGTTCTCAGCCCTAAAATAGATAAAAAGAAAGTGTTTTCTTTTCTCTCTGAGTATGAATACATTTGTCATTTCTGCTGTCTGCTAGTTTTAGTGCAGGAATCAGAGCTCTCTGTGTGGTTTCATGTCATCTTTGTTGGCTCACTGTTTATGAATTGTGTCTCTTGTTGTCCACAGCTGACCGGTGCAAAGAGGTCCAGCAGATCCGTGATCAGCACCCCAACAAGATCCCTGTAAGCTGCCGTTAAAGCCGGATTTTATCACACCACACTTGACTGATCTTTAAGACACTGCAGTGCAGACACTGATAATCTATACTGTCTGTGAATGATATCTGTGTGCCCCGGCATGCACCCTTCAATAGGCTGTTATCTTTCCAGTTTCAGAGTTTAATACACCTGTGTTCACTGAAGGGAAGAAAACAGAGGGATGATGTGAGTGTGTGGCATGAAGTAGACAGCCACACTTAGGTCGAGTAACTCACTGTATTTCAACAGCAGCCATTGACAATGAGCTGAGGGTGAGGAGCTCATGCTGTGAGAAAGTTTATTTCCTGTTGTGGATCCAATAATAAATTTTTCTGGCCTGAAAATCTTAATCACCCACTAATTAACAGTGACAATCCAGGTTTATTTCCAGACCAATAATATCAAAGTTGGGAACTAAAATCTTCCCTTTTGTAACATGTTTAACAACCAAAAAGATGTGATTGCTTTTATCAACTTCACAGCCAATGATATGCCATGTGAAAGAAAGCTGGTAATGTGCTTCATCAATGTGCTGTCTGGCCTTGTTGCCTGTTTTCTTGCTGATCACCAGGATGTGTTAAGTTCTTGATTCTGATTGGTTGAAAACCCCATAACTAGGGCTGTTATCATCTGAAGAAGTTCTTGGCCAATTAAAACCCTGGAATTTTCGACCAAAGATTGACTTACTCTGACGGCAAACCCTTAGTGATGACGCAGCTAGGGGGAGCGTGGCTCGGCGGGGTGAAGCACAAGAAGGCAATTAAACATAAATATTATATTCAGCAAACCACTAGACATTGATTAACATGGATGCTCTTCAATCTTCCTGTCTCCAGGAAAAAATTAAGCCCACCAATCAAAATGTAGGTCGTATCAGCATGTATCGACCGATAACTCAACCAGTTGACTCAGACTTAACAGCCCTACCTGTAACATTGGTTGTTAATTCTGCCTAGCAACAGCAATGCAAGGGACAACCTGAACATTTGGGGTAGACTGGTTATTAGCTGTGGCTGTATATCAGGTCATTAATTTGGCTAATGATCTGTATCGGCATTCTCTATTACTGATGGGTGATTAAATTAATTGATCCACATGGGAGGTTACAGAACATTTAGTGTCCTATTTGGGATTCACCTTATCCTGTTGACGATGTGATAAAAACACCACTTAAGAGAGCATCAATTTGAAAATGATAAAAAAAAAACAGTGAGGATATTTTATAATAATTCCCTCAGTTTTTTAGAAGAGCAGAAAACTTAAGACTGGCGGTTAATGGCTGGAAATAAGGAGGGGATGAACAGACATGAAGCAAACACAAACATCATGGGCTCTAAGCAATGTCACAGATCTGGTACAGTGAGAAAAAACGATGACAGAAAATTTTGAAGAAAGACGACTTAAAGTTGGTGTTATTTTCTGCTTTCGCTAAAATGCCAATAAAAAAAGCAGATGTGAAGACTCAGCAGTGAATGGAAATACTGTTGAATGTGGTTTAAAACGGTAGGGCAGGATATTGTTGAGCTTCTCACCCTGAGTGAGTTATTTATGTTCAAGAAAAACAGCTGCCTTGTGATTTAGTCAATTCACCATAAGCCATGCAAGTGAGGCAGGCTACTGGGTTAGCCCTCTTACATTACATCACTGCTCCATGGCCTTTCAGCTGCCATATAGGCACAAATAAAGACTTCAATTACATTGAATTGTATTGAATGGTTTCCAATGTGGACTACATCAGAATACATTTTATCTGATAGATTCACTGTTGTCCTGTATTTATCCAAATTGTGTGGTGCTTAAAACAGATTTTTTTACCCAGTTTGTCACAAATTCTTGTCACCCCTCAGATGCACTATATATATTAATCCCTTTAGGGGGATTTTTAAAAAAGTTTCCAGTCAGTCAATTATATTGTAATGTCAGATTTTACAACAGTCTTGCAATTCATCAATTACAGAAGAATCACCGACTGTATCATTATATTATCTCTGTCAGGTATCACATGGTATGATTCTCACCGCTAACACATTTACTCATATTTACAATTATCAATCAGGGCTTTACTTTCATTCAATAAAGAGAGTTTGTTTTTACTAGTAAGCTTTAGTCAGTAATAAAGCCTGACTTATCCTCCCTCCATATGCTGAAAAAATCTAACACTAATAAATAATGACCTCCACTAATAAAGCTAATGCCAGTTAGCTTAGCTTCGCATAAAGACTGGGAAACTGAAGCAGGCCTGTTCAGAAGTTACATAATCCACCTACTGGTTGAAAAACGTAATTGATTAAACGTGTTTTATCTTATGTGTTTAATCAAAGTGTCAACATGTCAGGAACTTGCTGCCCCCAACAGAACACATTACACCAGCCTCTTCTGACTTTTAGAGGTCGATCACTCCGTTTTACAGATAGCATAACACACATATGACATTCTCACAATCATAAGAGATGAGAAATGACCTTGCTGGATGCTACAGTCCATGAATCAGACACATGTATAATAGTTTTTGTATTGTCTGTTTTAGGTGATCATTGAGAGGTATAAGGGGGAGAAGCAGCTGCCAGTTCTGGACAAGACCAAGTTCCTGGTACCCGACCATGTCAACATGAGTGAGCTGGTGAAGATCATCAGGTAAACACAACAAACAGGCGTTTTTTTTTTTTGGTTGCTGAATTGGGTATCAGTTTGAGGTTGAGGTCATTTAGGTGTATGTTTGGCATGTGTGTGTATATTTGGAGCTGTCTGTTTGAATGCACGGGTGCTGGTGGTGTTGGACATGGTAGAAGTGTAACATGAAGTGTGTGTATGTGTGCGTCTTTATTTGGCAGCTTGCTGAGGTTGTGGTTTGCCCGTTTGTTTACAATCAATGCTGTGTCAAAGAGGGGGTGAGAAACAGGGGGCCATAATAGAGTCAGCTGCAGAATTATAAGACAGTAGATCAAGATTTGACAGCCCTGCAGTGCAGAAGGACCATAATATATCCGACAGATTCGATAGGGTTGTTCATAATTATCAGCCTTACATGCTGAGGCAGAATTTCAAAAGCAGCTATTTCATGATGTAAAGTCAATTTGTGGGAGAATCATTCCGTCTTAATGCATTAAAAATCAGTCAGCATGTCGAAGATCTCTCCGCAGAACTAAGATATGTTCAAGAGCCAAAAGGAAAAGAGCTGAGGGAGGGAAGAGGAAGGGAAACCTGAGAGAAGTGAGCTGACAGCAGGAAAGTTTTTAGATTTCTCTGAACACAAACACATTGACTCAAAGTTAGATAATGAACATAAGAAATCAAAAAATAACTGACATATGAAATCAAGCTTCTTGTGTAAATGTGGAACACTTCACGCATGCAAGGTATTAGCAAGTTGTCGTCTGCAATCACACAGCAGATTAACTAGTCATCTGCATCACCCCCCTTCCACAACAAATAGATTCCTGTCCTGTGGGAAATACTGAGCGTAATTGATAAAATAAGAGTATATAGAAAAACTGAAGCAACGATTGAATAAACTAAAGAGCAAATTTGTTGATTTTATTTTTTGAAAGAAAGTGACAAACTTCTTCCCTTGTTTCAGCTTCTCAAATGTGACGTCTGGCTTTCTTAAGCTTTTATCTGTCCACTTTAAATACAGTGAAAACTCATCTGACAGTTGTTTTTGTATTTTAGTGACATCATTATGTAAGATGACTTTGAACCACATAAATCCAGAGAGGGAAACACTGTGAAACAGTTTTAAGTGGAAAGGGGTGCAATTGTTTCTTAAAAAACCTAAACTAATAAAGTTCATAGACAAAAATCATCACTGAGACTAAAAGCAAAAGTGCACAATGTTTAAAACGTGAATCTCTACACAGCGGTCGACGTCTCCATGCGCAAACCTTAAACAAAAAGCCACTCTATAGCCACAAATAATGTGCAGAACAGCACCTTACTTCATCAACAGTACATATAGGGCCCAGCCATAGTACTAGCCATCAAACATCTTTTTAGCTTTGCCTGATTTCTTTAGCAAAGAGACCAAACACAACTCACCCACTCTCCTCCAGCCGCCGCTTGTTTGTGGGGGAACACTGACGAGTCGATCACCGAGTGCAGCGGATCATTTCCTTGAAGTAATAATCATCATAATAATCATTTTGCACTGCAGACGCTATAGTTCTTTTGCCTTAGCGTCTTGGTCTGATTTCATTTCCATGAAGTAATGATCATAAATGTTCTTCCTTGAGCTGCGAAACTCCGCTGCACTCGCTGCACAACTTGTGACAAAAAGAAGTAACTAAAAAGTTTCAGACGCATGTATTTATATCTCTCTGTCTCTGTTCTGTCTCCAAGGCGTCGTCTGCAGCTGAACCCCACTCAGGCTTTCTTCCTGCTGGTGAACCAGCACAGCATGGTGTCGGTGTCCACCCCTATCTCTGAGATCTATGAGCAGGAGAGAGACGAAGACGGCTTCCTCTACATGGTCTACGCCTCGCAGGAGACCTTCGGCTGCTAGGGAGGGCGAGGGCAAGGGAGAGCGGGACATCTTCAGGTGCAGGGAGGATGGGGAGAGGGTAGAAAGGGGAGCGTGTATGAGGGGAAGAAGGGGGTATGTGGTGCCAGAACCCGACCAGAAACCACCAACTCCATGATCCTCTCCACTTTGTTGCATTGCAGGCCCACGTAGCAGCACCTCCCTTTAGTCAGTCAGTCAGTCAGTGTTCATGTGACAGACACCCCCTTTGTCCCCCTCTCTCTGTCATACTAGAGCACCCTCTTCATTTTGGTCAGTAAATGCAACACTAGCTACAGAAACCAGAGGACGTGAGCGTCTCTCCTGCCCTCAGAGTTCATTGTACCTGTGATATCTGAGAGTTTCTACTTTTCTTTTCTCTCTTATCCCACACATAAAAGGTGGGAAGAAAACAACCAATGAATCTGAAGTTTGGAGTCCGGGAGTTAAACCGATTGAATCCTTAAAATCTGACACAGACAAAGTAAACACTAAGCCAGGCAGTTGCTTGGAAGAGTCAAGGAAGTAATTTGAAGCCCAGCTGATGAAGTTGAAGACCTCCTTAAAACACAGCAGGGTTCAGCTCGATCCAGTAATTAGCTGTGTTAGCCCATATTCTCTTTAAGCGGTAGTACGAGCTAGATGGTAGATTCTTAAAGTTGTGGTTTTACTTTTTAACTTTTTTTTTTTTTAACTCACATTGTAGAATTTTTTAATTCTTGTCTTTTGTTTGAAATATTAGCTGTAGTTTAGTTTGTGTTGTAAAGCGAGTTCTGGGTTTGTTTTAATCATACATTTACCGTCAGCCTGAAGCTCAACTGGCCAACTCGCCACCGGCAGCAGAGTCGCTGACAATCAGGCTAACCATGACTGTAATACCGGTAAATTAGAAACATTTACAAGTGCAATATTTTCCTGTCACACCCTTAAGAGGTTTCCCCCCTGTCAACTACTGTAATTTACTAACCGTCAATCACAGAAGGGAATTTAGCATTAGCGCCTTTAGCCACACGCTGCTACACACCGTCAGGCATGTTAACAGACTGAAGACTTTCTCCACCCCCGTTTGCACAGCACACCTGTAACATCACTACTCACCTGTCTTCCTGATCTGCACAAAATCATCACACACACTCTAATCACACACAAACTTAAAGTCACAACTGACCAATCAGGTGCAGAAGAGTCGGATGTCTATCCGATCGCAGAACCACAAAGGATGCACTCTGCATCACTAAGTTGCAAAGTTAAATTCTTGCTTGCTCTCATGTTTCAGATTGTTTCTTAGAGTGAAAGCTGCGAATTCAAGATATGGAAGTAATCAGAAGCAAGCAGTAATCTAGCTTCAAACTGACACTTGGATTAGCAGCATACGCAGAGAAACAAAGGGTCACAAGCGATTAGCATGATTACAGAAGACGATGTTTGGACACACTGTGTGATTTTACTTGGATAATGCAGCAAAATGCCAATAAAAATGATCCCATTTTAAACACGAAGCAGAGCTGACACGGCCTGTGCTGGGCAGCAGTGGAAGCCAGGAAGTAATCAGATCCCAGGAAGCTTTTCAGATGAGGTGAGGTGAATCAGGCCCCGCTTTAATATCATTTTCTCCTCTGAGGACAGCTTGTAAGAACGCTGAGTGTGTTATGGTAGCATAGAATCGAGCATTAGACAAAGTTCAATGTATTTAATGTTGGAAATGAATGAGCTTCTTTTGCACATAAATTAATACAAATATAAAAAAGAGTTGGCATAGACTTTTTTTAGGATTACTGTATCTATATAACAATTCTCTCTTCTTTTTGTATCTGCTCCTCTTCTCTAGAGCTCCTCTGCTCTCTCTCTCTCTGTACGTTTGTCCGTCTGCCTTTGTTTAATAAGACTTTATAGACGAAAAAAGGTTGGGATGCACTACAAACCTTGCATGTTTTGACTTTTTTTATAAATGTATATTGATTTTACGCATTAGATATAATTGTACTGTTTTCATTTAGAAGTCTTTTTAGATGTTTCCCAAACCAAAAACTGAAAATGTGTATGTGTATGTTTGAAACAAACAACAAAAAAACTGTGTGCGTATAAACGATCATATAATCGAGCTATATTACAAAGTGTGTTTTTCTTTAGGCTTTCTGACATGGTCACTGTTTGGAGGGGTGTATATAGACGCATTGCTACAACCTTATTCAAAGCATTTGCCAATAAATAAAAAAAAAAGTTGCCTTTAAAAATCTGTGTTGTGTCTTTTTTTCCAAATGATGTGGCCTGTTCTCAATCCATCTCCACGGCTTTATCAGTGTTTGCCAGTAGATGACAGTAAAGACCACTTGATCGGAGTTCTGTCTTTATGAATCGTCGGTCCATTTAAGCCTGTGAGTAGATACTTCAGACCTACAGGGCATATCTCCTCTTCGGTGTAAAAGCTGAAAGAGTCAAGGAGCAACATCATCATCACAGGCCATCAAGCTTGAAACCAACTGGTCCAGTCTTGTTAAACCCTCAGTCTGAACCAGCACAGGGACATTTTTGAGTCCACCAACTTTAACAGCCAGAGGAAGAAAACTAGGTCTGAGCTAGGCAACCAAGGATCTTTGGTTTCTACATAAATGAGATCTTACATGAAGTTCAGGGTGATGAATACCCTGTTACACTATTATTGTTATGATCAGGGGTGTAATCCCCCTCCCCCTCAGTGTACGGCTCATTACCTGGATGTGGATAGATCTCCGCTCACTGTGGATTAGAGGGCACAGCACAGCTCCTTGCAGCTGAGAGTGAAGATGCTAACAGCTAATTTCTCCTTATGGATGCAAAAGGAGAGCAAACTGCACACTGCTGCATGACTAGATTGTCATGGCTGTTCTTGAATATCATCAGATGTGCTTCGTGACTTGGGACTTCTACTCCCTTGTTCTCTCTTCTACTCCTCTCTGTATTTCTCCCCAACCCAGCAGCGGCAAAGTGGCTGCCTAACATGAGTCTGGTCCTTCCCGAGGTTTCTGCCATAGACAGTCTATATACAGTCTATGTTTCTGCCTGTCAAAAGGAAGTTTTTCCTTGTCACTGTCACTAATGTTAGATGAGATGGGTCAAATCTGTCCCATCTTAAGGTTGGGTCTTGGTACAATGAGCGTGGTCTAGACCTGCTCTTTTTTTTGGATAGCGTCTTGGGATAACAACTGTTTTGAATTGGCCCTATATAAATAAAATTTGATTAATTGATTGATTGACTTGGGCTGGAGCGAATTATGCAAAATCCTCTCCTCATGAATCTCCTGCGAATTAAAGATGTAGCATTGCTGAATCATTGTCTAACAAAGAAGAGCTTTTTTGTCCTTCACAGCAGGTGAGATGTTAAATCTACCTTTTACAATTTAAAATCATTCACTGGAGAATCGAAGGTGAAGATGGAATTTTCGTGCTGCAGCAAAAAAAGCACTTTTAAAATGGTCATTTCATCAAATAAAAGGCGTTAAATATAAATACTTGTTATTCCATAAAAATGTAGCTTGTTACTTTCTAAGGCTGCTCCGACACTTCACATACAAATGAAACACGAACTCAAAAACACACAGGGCAGATAAAAAGAGGCTTTTTTATTTTATTTTACAAGACAGAGGCGACATGTCGATTGTTGAGAAACATCATCCGTGTTTGGAGTTCATCAGGCAGGCTGTGATTTGTGACAGAGAGACTGCAGTAAAAATCTATGGCAGTCGTTCGTGGCTAAATCCTTCTCCTTTCATCCTCTAACCTCGGCTTTAATCCCTTCACTTCCTGACACAGTGGTGGTGCAAATTCAAAGACATGCTCTGCCTGTGCATGAAACATACTGCATGTTGTAAACCGTAAGTTCATCAGACTACAGTATTAAATTATGGGTTTGTTTCAGAAAGGGAAGAAGACTTCACTGACTTTAAAACATGAGGGGAGCTCCTGTATCGATTAGTGATGTCTTTTTTGTTGATGAGAAAAACAGCTGTTCCTATGAGCTTCCAAAACAAGATGTTTCCTGATAGACTTCGAGAGGCAAAAACGTCGCCAAAGCATCTGATAAGTTCCCCATTAGGGTTACACACATACTCCTACTATAAGAGTGACTTTTCAAGAAACAGGCACATAGATCAATTTAATATATCTGAATCATTTTTTTGTCCTTCACAGTAGAGGAGATGTTAAATCTACCTGTTACGATTAAAAAACATTCACACGAGCATCGGAGCTGAAGATGGAATTTCAGAGAGCTTCTTTCACCTTCCTGCTCGGCTTTTCCTCAACATTTCACTCTCTAATTTAAGAGACTCTTCTCTGGCCTCTGTCAACAAAAGATCTAAAGTGGTGGATGGCTGCCTCAGTTTCCCACTTTTAACTGACGACTTAAGGAGCTGAAATCTGATTCAAGAAGGACTAAGGTAACCAGAGGAAAGGTGTACAGAGTTTAATCGAATGTTAAAAAAGGTAGAAAATGATCAGAGTGGTACGGCTGCAGGTGGGAGCTGAGGCGTGTGAATGAAAGTGAGCAATACTGTGTGAAAGGAGGTCCTTTAAGTTGGAAAATGAGGTCCGGCAGCTTGTTGACTTTGTATTGGAGACCAGCAGATCGGCAGCGGAGATCTTTGACGGCAGGAAACTTCGGAGACGATTTACGCCATGCTGGTGGGACAAGAGTAGAGGAAAAGAAAAGGTTCAAACAAATCTTTTTAGTAAACCATCGAGATTTTTTTAAGACCAAGAATCAGAGCTTCGAGTCAAAGTTCAGAAAGATGGAACATTCACACAAGTGATTAAAAAATGAAGTGAAAGTTGGCTGCAAGTGGTAAATAGTTAGAAAACGAACAGATGGAGGCCTGTGTGTGTGTGTGTGTGTGTGTGTGTGTATGTGTGTGTGTACTACAGCACCACAGGGACACCTTTAAAGGCTGTGAAGATGAAGGAAAGCATCAAACATGGTAATTTGAAACAGCGTCTGAGTGTGTGTGTGTGTGTGATGAACGGCTGTAGATGAGTCAGTGAGTCCCACGTGTAATGAGAAGGTTGAGTGTTACAATCCCTTCTGTGTGAGTGTGTGAGTGTGTGTGTGTGTAAGCAGAAACACTCAGATGTGGGTCAAACAGGATCTATGTTCTTACAACTGCACTCTCAGGCTTTTTTTTACCATAATTCTCAGGTTGAATGTGCCAAAATCTGCACATCATCATGAGCGTGTGCGTCAGGTGCAGGAATGGAGATGATGAGAAAATGTGTCAGATTGATCACAGCTGGACTAACAAAGATGGGTGGAAGGATGAAGTGTGTGTTGTGTGTGTGCCTGTGTGTCTTAACCACCTGTCGATCAGCGAGTCCCTCATGGTGGTGGCGATGGCGGAGGGCTGCGCCGCGTCGCTCAGTCTGAAGACGCTCTCGATGACGGACAGCTCTGTGCTGGTGGTGTCCAGGCCACAGAACGCGCACCAGTCGTTGACCACCATCCCTGCTGCGATGACCTCACTGCCTCTGTTCACTGTGCCGGCCTGAACAGAAAATAAACTCACTTATCACCAAGAAAAAAAATCACAATTTTCACAAGGCAGTACGGTTTGGTTTGCTGCTCTGGTTCAGATCACAAACTTTGTACTTCCAGAGAACTTTTCAAAAAAAGCCTGATTTGTTTATTTATTTTTTGGTGGAGAGACTTCCTCTTGTTTTCACACTGTGCTTTTATTTGGAAGTTTTGCCCAGGACAGTATTTGGGGAAAAATTGACTTGACAGGTGAATTTTTCCCGGAAACAAAGGCTGTGTTAATTCTTGAACTACATCAGCTCACAGGGAAAATGTCCTCTTTTACAGTCTCTCTCTCCAGTCCCATCTCTTTCCCTCTCTTCTTTCTCATTCATTCAAGTTTTGTGTTGGATATGCTGAAGTGTGGCAGGACAGTACAGGCTGGTTTTCTGAGTGCTTTTCCAAAGTATTGACAGTGGAAACGTAAACAGGTGCAGCTTTAACTACACCATACCAGACAGTTTGGTGGAATTGCACCATAAGGCACAAAATCTGCTCACATTCAGAGAACTAAATCTTTGCATTTTTACTTTCAGCTTGTAAACAAAGAAAAGCATGAGCAGCATTGAGGCTAAACTTGGGATGAAGATGTGTAATAGCCAGATGAAGGGATGTACCATCACATATTTGTACTTTAGATGTCTTTGGCCTCTTCACCAACAGCTACAGTGTGCCCTCCTGACAGTCAAGTGTGAACCATAACAGGACTTAATATTCAGACTGAAATCGTTTTTGAACCAGGCTCTAAACATGTATGAAAACATTTGATTTTTTTGTGTTTTCGGGTGCTTCTGCAGACATTTTTTAAGTTTTATCATAGAAAAGTTGATAAACACTGTTGTCAATTGGCAAGTTTTGAGGCGCAAACCCCTCAAGCTCTCTGCGTTGTGCGGTTTTCTAGTCCAGTTTGAATAATTTTCCAGGACAATATGTGATTTTCCAGGACATTTCACTTTTCCTCCCATTTTCCAGGTGTTTTTTAGGACTGAAAAACTGATCAGCTGTTTTCCAGATTTTTCAGGACAAGTGGGAACCCTGACAATGGAAGCAGCCAGATTCTGGTCTAACCTCCTTGAAAGAGTCTCTCTACTCTCATATTGAAGCAGCCTTTTCACCAGATCACTGCTCTGTATGCAGAGTCTGCAGCACCATGTTTATTGGCACCTAATATTCACACCCTTTTAACATCTCACCTCACATGTTAATGTCTTAACAGCGGCATAACAGATAACAACAATACTGTGTGTGTGTGTGTGTGTGTGTGAGTCTGTCTGTATGTGAAGCTCCGGCTGCGTGATGGCAGCTCGGTTACAGTGCTGCAGCAGAAGTGAAATATAAAAACAGGGTCTGCTGGGGTGCCACTGGCCCAGAAGTGTATGCTCATACACACAGGTTAGGCCTATGTTGCCTTTTGTATGTTTGATGACAGACACACATTTAAACTTGGATGCAGCTGTGATCGAAGATTCTTCTGATAGAGGAGATTTGTGTCGAAATAAATCAAAGAAATTTAAAAACGGTTTAAGCCTCTAAAGGACAAATCTGATGTTGACGAATTTACAGAAGCCCTTTTGTCCAAAGGTTTACAGACCTACATGAAATGCTGCAATTATGCTGTTTATGCAATCATTTTATTCGCTCAGGCATTGGCAACAAGAAAGTAAAGTAAAAGGTCACTCACCACCAGTGGGACCTGCAGCAGAGACGACAGCTCATCCTGGTCCTCTATAGACGTCTTTGGGTGAACGAGACCTCCCTGGTTACTGAACGCACAGTAAGAGCCGACCAGGACCTGCTCTGCTATTGTCTGACGGAAAACCTCCACCTTCAGAGTGTCTGCCAGGATCTCTTCTGTCTCCTAAGTAGTAGAGAGGAGGAAGGAAGCAAGAGTTGAACGGTTAGACTGAACTTACCCAGGAGGACAAAACGGGCAGTTTTTGGTTTCACTTTCTGAGATGAAACGGGTAAATTATCTAGAGCCCAATCATTCTGAACATGTTGTTGAAATGGGAAAACTGGGATTGGAATGAGAAAGGAAACCCAATTATTTAGTTATACTGAAGTTTAACTTGGAAAATAAAATGTCCTGGAAAGGAATTCATCATCATGTGCAAATGTTAGCGTGTGTGTGTTTCAGTCTCACTCTGTCCAGGTCTGGGTGCACCAGAGCTACGTAGTCGTTGCAGGCGATGACGTTACCGAGAGCAGACAGCCTCTCCTCCACTCTCTGGATCCTCACGGCCTCTGGCAAACAGTTTCTGATGTGCTGCAGCTCCTGGTCTGTCGTGTTGTTGGGCACCATGAGGCCGTGACGGTTTCCTGAAAACAGAGCAGTTACAAAATCAGACTATGAAAAATTTATGGACTGAGGCTGAAGATTTTGGGCCAGATTTGCCAACCTCAGTGGTTGGGGGGCACGCTATGATGATCTTGTTGTTACTGAGTCTAATCATCAAGTGTGTGGTGTCAATACCACTGTTTGTCTGAGTCTGAGCCTCCCTGACACAGGACCAGACTAAAGCAAGACACGGGAGTGGATTTTCACTCCTGTCCCGTCCCACTCCCAGAGAAAAAATCCCGGACCAGAGTAAAAAAATTAATCCTGTCCTGTCCCACTCCCGTGGAATGACTCCCACTGCCATCCCGCTCCCACTCAAAATTACTCCCACTCCTGTCCTGCTCCCGTTTGAATAAAACCAAACATGTTGCAAAAACGCTGCATTTTTTATTTTATAAAAAAAATAGTTTCGGTAAAAGTGGCAGCCGAGACAGAGCGGCAGTCGCACTTAATTTTCACTTTTTTTTCTTCTTTTTTTCCCATTTTCGATGGTGACAGGAAGTCAAACCACTGTTGTAGTTCTTTTGTGTTGCTAGCGCGGTCAAGAATGTTGTCTCTCACTGACAGATGACTACAAAAATGGACGCATCTGTTCATCTGGTTGTTTAACACGGCTGAAAATGGTCATCTATTAATGTTGTTCCCGCTCCTGTCCGCTCCCGTTGCTTTTTTCCCCGTCCCGTACCGATCAAGGGATTAAATAAAAAATGACTCCCATCCCATGGGATTCCAGACGTACTAATAAGGATTCTAGGTCTTATAGCCCCTAACTACTATTTTTACCCAAGTCTTCATTCACTTTCTATTTCATCCTCATTATTTCTGTCTCCCTCTCAAACGTTTGTTTGTAAATCCACAGCTGTGTTATTGTCAATGATTGCAATCAAGTTTGTTTTTTAAGTTTGCATTCAGAGACAAAGGTTTTAACAATTGATTTTTTTCTTTGTATCAATGTGACAAGTAATTGAAGATAGCCACAGTGTAAACAAGTGAGTTCAAAGAACAGACTTAAGAGAAGAAGTGAATTTAAAGACCATCTCACCACTTTTTATGTTACGTTTTTATACCGTTAGGTGTTGCTCATGAAATGGTGTGATATGGAATAATGTTTCTTATCAGGATGTGCAACTAAGCAGCTCAGCACATGAGTCGAGTTTGCCATCAGTGGGAGTATAACTTAATAGAGGGCATCAGACTATGAGAGCAAGCTGCTCTGTAAAGCTGCATGATGGATCAAAACACACTCCTTCATCGCTGACAGTACAAACCAAGAGAGAAGTGCTGTGATTTAAAAAAAACTCATAGAAGTGAACCAAAACATGCTGCCTTAGTCTCACAGCAAACTGATCCCTGTTTATCACCTGATTATTTAGGTGAACAGCGCAAACTGACCACCTTTGTGAGCACCAGCTGCATGACACACATCAACACCCCCACCGTTACAGGCAGCGAATTATCTGTAAGATTTGCTGCTGTGTTGTCACGAGCTCACCGGGACTTTACCCTGAAATGATACAGAGGCCAGCAGGAAATATACTGGGTGAAGTCCGGGTGACAGACTCGGCTGTTTGTGTTCATGTGTACAGATCACCCACAGGGTAATTTCTGGAAATTTACAGGAACTTTTTGCATATTTAAAAAGGGTCGATAGTGAATTATCTTTAGTCCACACTACATCCCTGGAATTATGGCAAAAACACTAGAGCATGATGTCTACTTACAGAATGATCTAGTGCGCGAGTTCAGGGGACTATAAAGTGTAAAACTGCTCAGAATTGTGAGGTCCACAATTTTGAAATCAGAGAAGACTGAAAACTTGTCTAGTGTGAGGCCAACCTCCCAGAGTAAGGAACTGCAGTAACACTTAATAGCTATTACCTTTAAAATCACTCTTAAAACTAGAAAGAAAAAGACATCAAAATATTTATTCAGCCACATGTTGGCTCTAAACATTATTGATATTAATATAAGACACCTAAATGTTTCTCATTATGTAGTGAGATGGTCTGCTGTTACGCTGTAGGAGTGGAGATGGAAATGAATGAATCAAACTTCAACAGCAAATTTAAACTTTGAACTGTTCAGTGAAATGTCCGAGCGGATGTTCAAAAAGTCTGATGTGTTCTTCTCTTCAGACGCTGGCACATTAAAAACATGCTCTCATGATAATAAGCATGCTGCCCTTTACAAATCTAGCAAGTCTTTCTTTAGTGAAATGCTCCTCCACCTCAAACATCACAGGATGAGATTTTCTACATCACAAATCTATGCTCCATCCCCAGCGCCCTGCTCTGCAGGCCAGACCCTGAGAAGTAGAGAGGATGATCACGGAACAAGCATGTGCGTTCGCGGATTACAATGCTCATAAGAAAGGGGATTATGATATTAGCTTTATTCATAATTCCAAAGCCAAAGATGAGTGTCTGAGAGCTGAATAGCTTCTATGTTACCTGCCACTTCTACGACACCTGCAATTTTAGGCTACAAGCAAGAGTGAAGAGGAGTGTGCAGAGCAGCGCCGTCTCCGGCCAGAACTCAGAGGCGACATGCTAAAGTGTGACTGTGTGAGCGAATGAATGATGTATCCAATGTAAAGCGCTTTGAGGGTCTCTGATAAAGCGCTATATGAAATCTGATGCATTATTATTATTATTAATGAGCTACTGAGGCTCTGCAGAAGAAAAGGCCTTGAAAATGACACAGATGATGAGATTTTGGCTAAAAACTTCATAATCACAGTTTAAAGAACACTGATAAAACTTCAAGTAGTTAAAAAAAAAATGAAAAAACAATCAGAGCAGGACTTCAACATGAGAGTCCTCATGTTTAAGCACTTGTTCTGAAACTGTAATCAAACTGTATCAAAAAACTAACAAAAAAAAGAACAATCTTGAGAGTGAACAAAACACAGAGAAAAAATCAAATTCAGGTGTGAAATAAAGGTGTTGCTGGGAGGGACTGATGTGTTACAGAGATTAACAGAGACTGCAAGAAAGAGCACACACACTTGAAAAGTAAAAGTGTGTGTGAGTATATGTGTGTGTGTGCGCGCACGCACTGCTTCAAGAGAATAACTCACCCACACACATCCTCCCAATGATGCGACAGCCTGCGATGGAAGCGTGAACCACAGGGATGGTTTCAGACAGCTCTCCTTCAAACACACTGCAGGGACACAAACGGCAAACAGCAGCCTGTTAATGATTTCAGCTCCGTCTGGAAACCAACAACACTCCAACTGTTCTCTCCGAACCAGCTGTGGACACGACACTCAGCCAAAGACTGAAAACTGGATTATAAAGAGCAGATAAACAAATTATTTTAAAAAGATGGAACAACAACACTGCCCGGGTCACAGGGGAACCAGAGTCCTGCTGAAATGGATTAAATTCTGGTCTCCTTGTATGTATAGAGATCCTGTGTTGAAAATGTAATTTGCCTGATTTCTTTATGTTTGGTGAGGCGGTATCTCTCTATGTGATGTTGGCACTATTTTGCAACAGTTCATACTGATCATAATGAGTCAGCCATTTAATTACATTTCATTACCATTAGTTACATGAAAGAGGAGCCTCTCAAGTCAACCAAGAGGAGAAGAGGTCAAGGGTCTTTTTAATATCAAACACCATATTTACATGTATTTCAATAAAAGAAAGCACATACTGTATTCTGCATAGGACATAAAGCACACCTAATTTCCATAATGAATACATATTTCTTCTTGATGGGAAATGTCAGAGAAGGTAGAAACCTATTTTCACCTCAGATGACAGTGTCCTATGTAAAAAACGAGTGCTGTATATGGTCTTATGTTTAAAAAATTGACAGGATCCTGAGCTGCTTTTGTTGGGATTCACATCAGATATTCACCCTCTAGGTAAACTCTCCTAATGAAAATTACTATAATCCATGCAACATTATTATCTGAAGCATACGCCACATAATCCTGACCTCAACTTCAGAATTAATCGAAAAATTGAAACATAACACACTGATTTTCCTTCTAATTCTCTCTGTATGTTGTTTCCTCTGCACCTCTCTCTCTCCCTCACTCTCTCAGACTGCAGTACAGTACATCTTGTTATTGTTGAATATTGCGTGCTGTCATGTTTTGGCTACAGCACGTTACAGTTTTGTTGAGAGCATTAAACTAGCACATATGTTCTTTGGGGATCCATGTTGAAAAAATTATTTATAAGTTAATTATATCAAAAGGGAGAACATCTACGGTGCAAAAACAACGACATGGGTCAGGTCAAGTTTCCTCAGGGAGCCTCACTTTGAGCCAAGAAAAAATAAGGAGAAGTAAAATCACATACTGAGACACCAATATTATACTGACAAAGGATTAAAGTTCAAATTTTTATTTGTTTTTAGGTGTCATTGTACAGCACTTTGGCTACCCTTGTGGTTCTTTTAAATGTGCTTTAAAAATAAAGTTGATTGATTGATTGATTGAATTCCAAAGGTGCAATAGTGAAGCTTTGTTGTACTATATGTAAATGATTCAATACTAAGTGTGTGTTAACCAGAAGCTCACACTTGAAGCTGAGCAATAATTCATTCAGTTGCAGTAAAGGACAATGACTGAACAGGAAGAAAATGTTTAAGAGACACTTTTCAAAGTACAATTAAGTGATATGTACAAAAAAGTTACTGCCTGCTCATCTGTAAGAGGTTCAGTTTTCAGATATCAGACACTAAGTGAACTGATGTCTGATGTTAGTGAGGCAACAAAACGCAGAGCACAAACGGATCTGAAACTTGGGCACACGTGATTAATCTAATTTGAAAAAAATCCATACGGCTTTTGAAAACCTCTGTCTGGTCCAGTTAATGGTAAGTCATGTACTCAGCTCCAGCCTGTCATAAAGCTGGCACACCTAAGGTTAAATAAAGTCAGCGGCTGAGATTACACTGGGATGACATCAGACAGGTCAACAGGATACTTTAGCCTCCATGCTACAAGAAAATAAAACAGTCTTTATCACACACATGGAGCTGCCTTTACTCGGTGTAAATGTGTTTCTGGTCAAATCTCACCTGTAGAAGTTCTCGGAGCCGCCGATAGCCACCAGACAGTAAGTGTTGGTCAGTTTGGCGAAGCAGCCGACCTCGTTGTTTTTCTCAAACGATGCTCTCACGGCCATGATGAAGAAGCAGGGGGTTCACTTCTGATGCTAAAACAGCGACAGAGCTTTAAAAAACAGTCTTCATAATCTAATCAAACATCAAATTCGTTCATAACTGATTCATAACTCCGGCTCCTGTGACAGTTTAACCGAACCACCCAAGCTAACCGGCTAACCAGCTAGAAAGTTAACCGTTAGAGAGACAGACTCTTCAGATTAATCTTACCTTTTACTGACACGCGTATTTATCTTACCACAAATCAATTCAGATTCTTAAATATCTGGAAATATCTACATAAAAGACATAAAGGTACCTGATTTAGTTGTGTAGCAGCACAACCTGCGTGGTGGTTCACTCAACCCCACGTGTCAACCTCCGCTTCGGGGTCAACGTAATGACGTAGTACGTAACACGCGACATAAAAACAATCTGAAGCGAGAAGGCACCGTTTCTCTGTCATAAAATGTATTTTCCTGTCAAAATGTACCATTTTATTACTGGCGTCAGTGCTTCTTCATATTTCAAAAATTATATGACAAACGATAATAAGAAAATATGTATTTCTCTTTGATTCGTCTATGTACGCATCAAATATTGTTCTCATGATATTATGATTATGTAACATAAGCTAAAAAAAAGCTTTTCCAATGAATGTAAATGTCATTACCATAAGCAAAAAACAAGATCTAGAAGGAACAAACCTCTTACTTTAAACTTAATACCGCTACTACTACTACTACTAGTACTAAGACTACTACTACCTCTACTGCTAACAATAGAATAATAATAATAATAATAATAATGATAATTGTTAAAACAGTGAACAGTAAGAAGGTCTCACTGTGGGCAAGTGAGAGTTGGTGGAGATGATGACCGTTGCAGTCTTCATACATGTAATGAACTGACTCTGTGAACCAACGTTTTTGTTTTTTTTTTGCCCCTTTTTTGTTGATACTGTGATTATGTCTAGTTACTTACAGCATTAGGACAAAGGACAAAAAACTGGCATCATAGATTCAGGACTCTGTTAGTCCACTACCTAAGTTACCTTATAATTTATTGCACAATTGATTTAAAGGAAATCAAAAGTTTTAACAAGATATTTGAAACAAATACACTACTTTATATTATTAATCAGTGTTGATGACAGGGAGGAATATTGTAGCTGTTAGCGAAGAGGCCAGATGTTTAATTAAACTCCATCTCTTTGCCTCTTTCCAGGCTGGCAGGGAAATTTCACACACACACAAAATGTATACACACACACACACACACACACACACACACACACACACACACACACACACACACACACACACACACACACACACACACACACACACACACACACACACACATATCGTGAAAACTTGGTATTGTGATTAATGACAACCCTAGTTGCCATTTTGTTATATTAATTTGCAAGTTGAAAATACAACATCCATATGATTTTTAAGTGTAGGTAGCAAGGGTGATACTCAGACAGTGAGGGTGAACTGTATTCACTTATACATCCACCAGGACTTCAGGCTTCATCTCTGGGCTTGTGAAAAGAATGAAAAAAATGTAAAAGCAGGTAAATAAAATGTCCACTTTGGGCTTCTGTAGTAAAATAATGCAATAAGACGTATAGAAATATGTGTCCTTTTCCTTTTTACTCTACAGTAGCTTGGATATTGTTCAACTGGTGTTTAACTATTCCTTATATTAAATCTTAAAAATATTATCTTGAAGGTTACAAGGCAATCATTTTCTCATGGACTCTTTCATTTTTTTACATTATTGAAATGTTAATAGTATTAAGCTTAAGGCATTTGTATGATGTGAAAAGACTATAATATTTAAACAATAAGCCTTTGGGGGAAACTATAAGTTAGACGTGAAGCCTTATCCATGAGGGGCAGATGAGTCTTTGTAGTTCAGTCAAGGACAACAGAGTAAGGCGAAGATTTGTGAACAGAAACACAACACGCAAAGAAAGTCTACCGCAAGACATGAATTCAGATATTTATTTAATAAGGCTCATTGGGAACAAGACCATCCTAAACAGGTGTAAAATGATTGAAAAGCACCTGAATGATTATGATTCTGTTGTAATTCACGTTTACTCACTCAGATAGAAAAAATACGCATTTATATCTTTAAATGTTGATGATCATTTTTCATATGGATGTTTATTATTTCATAAGGTTTAGTCTTTTCATATCCTCCTGCTTTCGTAACCTTATGTTGCCTCCATCATAATTCATGCTGCTTCTTCACATCAGCTGCCTCAAAGCCCCCTCATGTTTTTACCCCAGATGCTCAGAGTGAGTGTGTGCGCATGTCTGCGAGCGCGTGCATGAGAAGAGCCAGCGCAGAAGAAGAAATATCTCAGCTGTCTTCCATCCTTTCTTCAGTAACCTGCATAGCAACTGGACGCGCGGCCGTCTTCCTCCTCTTTCCTCGTGCAGCTCTGTGGATGGCGCTCTGGGCCAATCACGTCGGCCATTCCTCGTGACGTCCTCTTTGTTGACACTTCCATTAGCTCGCCACCTGTGTGACGTCACTGCGGCAGGTTGGGTTGGGGAGGGGGGCGGTGACGAACCAGAGCGGGGGGAAGAAAACAAAGAGCTTGAAACATGCGGCAGAGGTCCCACTCCGTTTTGTTTTTATGATCTCACGGGTGCTAGCCTGACGAAGAGATTCACATTTTTTTTTAACTATAATTATCTGAACAAGGTTTGACTGTGTGCGTGGTAATGTGTTTGAACCGTTTTTATCTTGACTTTAATTTTCTTACTTTGCTCTTTTCAGTGCCTTGTCATGATGTTTTTGTTGTTGCTATTGTCACATTTCCACAACAGGATCTGTGCAGCTTGACCTCCATATCCTTGACGCCTTTTGTTTTTAGAACTGCTGAACTTATTACTTCCAAGAAACACACACACACACAAAATAAAATATATGTTGAATGATTTTTACTTTAAATCAAAAACTTTGTTTTTAAAAAGGCATTATCAGGCCCACCTCTAAGGCTAGCAGGCAATGAAGGCATTTCAAGCATGTGAATCTGGATATTATAAAACAATAATAATAATAATAATAACACTAAGAAGTGGTAAGAGGAGCTTCTGGCAGACTGTTTTACCATGATTTTCAGAGATTAATTCTGGTTATCTGTTTGTTTGATCATAGCCTTCCGTTTTAGCTTTAGTTCTACTATGCTCGTACCAACCTGATGAAAAAAGAGAGTAGCATCTCTCATTCATTTTTTTAAAATATGTCATTACATTCATTACATTTGCTGTCTTATACAGAGAAATGTGTGTTCAATTTCCCAGAGATGTTTTAGAGTCTAAAATGGCTTTAATTTTTGTAAAAATAAAAAAAAAATTAAAAAAACGTGATAAAACTCTCGGAGTATTCCCTCTTCTCCGTCCTAAACGATCTGTGGAGTCAGCAGCTCGGCGGACACGTCTGACGGGATACTCTGCCTGGAAACACCGCAAACTAATCGGAACCGGCGGCCGACATAGACGGACGACTCTCGTAAGAGACGAGGGGTCGACGAGGTGGGATAAAATTAATGACTGTTCCCGACAGCAGCTAACAGCTCACACACAAACACACACTCACGAGGACACACACACACTTCCTATCAGTGGGCGGAGTTGTCAGTGTTGTAAACATGTCATTTATTTATACTGTCGAACACAGAAAGTGAATCCAAACGGACTGTGATGGTGTTTAGGCCAAAAGGTTACACTTAAAAACCCTTAACAGTCCATAAACAATTAATACATCTGCTGTATTAGTATGTAAAAGACCAAAACCTACTCAAACCATGGATTTATTCTGACAGCATAGTGACTGACATATCTTCCTCAATATGTGACAAACTTAATTATTGTGGGTTAATGAGTAATATTCATCGATGGTTTTCTGTTTTTCTGTCTTTGAAGAATCAGCTGTAAAACCATCAACTTCAGGCTATTAAGTTGAACGTCAAGGCAATATCCAAGCAATAAATGATAAACATATATATAGATATATCCAAAGTAAAAATCAAGAGCAGAAAAAAGCTAATAAATTTTGCCTAAGAGAAGCCTGAGCCCCTAATTCTGCTCAAAATTTAAAAAAAATTAAAATGCTGACTATGGCCTGTAAATAATGTAAAAACATGTGTGGCGTAAACTCAGCAGGATTCCTGTTATGTGTGAAGCGATTGTGTTGACCTGACACATGTCCAGGCTGTGCTTAATACATGTAATAGTTTTTTTTTTTTTTGCAAACAGTCTTCTTGCATCAGGTGGAAAGGTTTTATTGTGAATGATCCAGCTTGTACTGATGAAAATTAGGTTGTTCTGTAGTTGAAAAGAGGTGTTACAATGTTCTGCTCAGGAGTTATCCACCCAGGACAGAGAAACCTGTGAATGTATTTGTAATTTTAAGAGTGTTTTCAGTGTGATTTCAGCAGGAGCTTGCATGGTCCTCTCCTCTGCTTCATGGCAGTTCATCTTATCATTAGGTGGCTGACCTAAGCCAACCAGCTGGCAGGCAGGTTGTTGATGAAAAGCATGTATTGAGGCTTTTACAATATTAGATCATTACCTCATGGTTATTGTGACCATTAGCAGAGCTGGCCCAAGCCTCAATGAGGCCCTAAGCTAAATTTGATTTTGGGGCCCTCTATTTCTGCCAATAATATTGATTGTTGATCATTCACACATCTTCACAAATCTCTTAAACATTCCATGACATGCAAACATACCTTTATCTTTTTTTCTCTTCTTCCTCTTTCTTTTCTCTGATCCTGAAGGACGTCCTTTTTGGGACATTGTTTTGCCCCACAACTACGTGCACTTTGGATGCTCAGTGCACATTGTACAGCAGGAGGCACATAACGGTAGTGCAGCTTTGACATATCGGCAGTAAGAATCATAAGCCTACAACAGCAGCACTAAAATGTTTTTACTTTATTTTATTTTTAGAATAATATATATTTGATCCTACAGAAAGCATCACTCAGACATGCAAAAAATAAAAAATATTATTTGTTTTTTATTTGGATTGCTCTTTGGGGCCCCCTATTGGCCGCGGGGCCCAAAGCAGGTGCTTTGTTCGCTTATGCCTTGGGCCGGCTCTGGCAATTAGATATCATGAGTACCAGTACTGTGACATATAGCTGTAGCTGACTTGCTAGCAGTTGCTGCTCCCTCTTGATCTATTCTAGTTTGAAGACATGCAGCAACCAGTGTGAAAGACCACTACCGTGAACTCAGGGTTACACTGTAGGCTTATTTTAAAAACACAATAATGGCATTTTGCAACAGTCTGGGGTTGTGCCCTCTTTGCTTTTCACTCCATTTTCGCTGTGTGACAGGTGCAGTGTAAAAAGAAAGGAAAGTACAACACTTCCCACAAGAAAACATCAATAAAAGTATGAATATGAAAACAACAATTAGGAAGTTCATGAACAAAAAAGCTTAATTAGAGTTATTTGAGTAATTACTTTTATCCCAGGCAAAAATGAAAGGCAGCAAACATTGTATGCATGACTCTGATGCCTGATTTCAAGCATTTGTGAATGTTTGTCTTTGAGAATCACACAAAAAGTATCTGACTTAATTTCAAATATTTGTCATGCAGTCATCCTGAATTTCAAGCTCTTGAAAACATTTTGAAACAACGTGCAGATATTGATCCCCTCATCTGACACCTTCTCCTCTGCAGAGGTGACAGGTGTGTAAAATAGTATGTGGAAAAATAACCAGTCTTGTCCACTGTGGTCCAGTTTGCTTTTGGCCTCAGTATTGACTTATCTGCTTCATCACCATCTAAAACTCCTCACAGGAGCTGAAATCAGCATGCAGACCAGATTCAGCAGTGTCCATTTCTTAAAGTGGAGGAAGAATTGAGCTGAGGCAAACACACTCTTACTTAAATGCAATCAATACCACAGAGAGACTTTAATTAAGCTGCTTGTGAGAGATTATTTATCCAAATTATTTCCTAAAGGGTGAACCCCATTCATGCTACAAGTGTTCATTTACTGCAGAAAAGGAAAGCGAGACAAATACACCTCAGTGTCCACAACATTTTTGAGTGGCTGTTAAATGAGAAAAAGCAGGAAAGGGAGGAAGAGGAGTGATAATGGAGGACCCTGCAGCTGCACACTGCGGGTCACATGTGGGTTTTTGTGTGGAGCTGAGAGTCCTCAGCCAAAGAGGGCAGCACCGGAGATAAGAGCGAGCACAAGTCAAAACAAAAGAATATCTGAGAGAAAGAGAGGAGGAGGCTAAATTTAGCTCGGCTTTCTCTCTGTGTGACAGCTGGGGAGGGGAAGAGAGGCAAGTGCGCTGAATGCTGATGGAGATGCTCTTTAAGTTCATGAATGAAGCATGTGCAGCCTGATATTCAGCCTGATATCCCAACAAAAATATCTGAACAGCAAAATCTGAAGTTTTGACCCCACAGCTTCTCTCTCTCTCTTTCTGTGTTTCTGTCAGTGTCAGTGCTCGGCTGTGATCACAGTTTTATGTCTGTCCAGCAGAAGCTCCCCCTCAGATGTTATATTTAGGTGTGGAGCAAAGGTTAGGCCGCTCGTCAACTTTTATGTGAATATTATCACAAGTTATTGCTTTGCAGTTCAGCCAGAAACCCACAGCCGTAACATGTTTGTGAGGCAGTTAATTTCTGCTTCTGAAAGGCCTGCTGCCTGTTTTAAAGCCGTCCATTACTTCTACTCATGTTTTGACGCACTGGTTGTAATCTCTGTTCGTCACTTTGCTGTGAATAAAATCAGACATGAAGGTGTGAAATTATTCAGCAGCATTTTGTTCCTGTTTATTCCAGATCAATAACAGGAACGTCCACACAGCTCTTGGGTCTCAGGCTACAGACTGTACAAACAGAGCTCAGTAGATTCAGCTAGATTCTGGTTTAAATTGAAGTCGTTGGCAGCACTCTTTAGTTGTATGCCACTTCAACAGGACCGTCCAATGTAAAAGAAAAAAAGAACCCAATCTGCTTAAAAATGAAACACCTTAAATGGACCAATAATGCTGATCTGTGTTTATTCCTTTGGGTAAACAACTGTGAATATGCTGATTTTGATTTTATTCCGTTAGTTAGTAGACATGCGCTCGTTTCTTTGCTTCTCATGACAAGAGATTGTGTGGGAACACTCATAAGAACTCACTGGTTCAAACTGGTTGGAGAATGAAACAAGGAGAAGTAAGATGACAACAAAAGCTACTAATCCACACAATCCACACTGAACTTCAATCCCCTTTATTGTGCCATACAGCTAAAATGTCATAGTGGCAGGCTACAGAGGCTACAAATATTAGATCTAAATCCATCATAACCCACGGAGAGACAGAATTCTTATTCCCTTTTACTGTGGAGACATTTGAGCATGTGCAGAACTTGTACCTCCAAGAAAGCAATAATGATACTGAATCATATCATATGTCTGTGGGTTTATTCCTAAAATTCAGGCAAAAACCAGAGTAATAAACATCTTTTTGGAAGACCGTTTTGCTAGTTGATCAAAAAAGTAATTACACAAATTGATGAATATACCTGTCAGGTTCTCAAAGAGGAAGATGATACACCACCACTGTGTGAAATATTGTGTTTTCAGAGAGTCAGTCAGTTACAGCTAGCTGTTGAAAATGATGTCAACTCGACTATTTCTGGTTGAGACGGTCACTCGTTAGTTGCATCCTGCTTTACTTTTTTTGTCAGATTGGCGAGGAGACGCTGATTTGGGTCCAAAGTGTCCAGTCGAGGAAATCAAGATGGTAGGTTTCCAAAAAGCTTTTCAATATTTTAGCTTCAGTAGTGCGTAGCTGGAAGTAGAGCTGTACCATATCAACCTTGTTATTCCTGGTGCTAAAACCTTTACGTTTCAGACACTCACTTTTCTTACGAAGTCAGACAAATTTGAAAGAAGTCTTTGTTTAAAAAAAGAAAAGAAACTGGTTCACGTTTGAGGAAAGGTTTCATCTGATTATATTGGCGGTTAATGCAAAAGCTGTTGTCCCCTAAGTGGATCAATTTCTTCTGGGTTTCTGTGAAAACCACCACCATCTAAAAACTCTTCTCATCTTGTGTAATTTCCCAGCATGTATTAGAGACCACCAGAGAAGCTTTCACAGCCCACACTGTGATGGTGTAAAGTGTAAAGCAGAGTAAGATGATCCCGTCGGCTGCATTAGCTGAGCTGATTGAGTTGTGTTTGATTGGATTGGCGCCGTTGACGCATCATTCTGGAAGGAATAAGAGATGTCCGAGCTGATAACCAAGAGGGGGTTGATCTCTCTCATCCTCTTTCGCTTTATCAACGTCTGAGTGTCTTTGGTCTCCCTCACTCCCTGCTTTTTATCTTATCACCTACTGCTAAAAGATCTGTCTGTCTGAGTTTATTTTAAGGCTGAAGTCTGTAAGATTGTGCTGATTGTCTGTCCTTTCACTCGTCTCAGACTCAGAGTTAAACATGAAAAAAAAAGCCAAACAAACAGGATTTTCAACTGTTTTGATCATGTAAGTAAAACTCAACCAGAAGAGGGTTTCTGGAGCCAATTCTGGTGCAATGATGCAAATCAATGTGAAAACATATTGCACCAAATGTTATCCTCTAGTCATCCTAGCTGCCCCTGCTAGATTCATTCACTGAAGCTGTGGCCTCATTTCAGCCAAATGTATGTACACCAAAACACGTCATATAAGCCCAAGTCAAAAGCATTTAATGTAGTGCACTTGTCAAAGTTATCACTAGATTTTGTGTGCCTGGTCTCTCTACTGACATGCAGTGGGCTGCATACCATGGCAGTGTTGCTGTCTGTCACTCTGTTGCTTTGGTGGAGAGTGCATTAACAGTTTAGCAGTGAAAGACTTGTACCTGGCAGGCAGATTTATCCAACCCTTCAAACTCAAATTGAAACATTTAGTATGTGCCAATTTTTTCCACGTAAAAAACCGAGTGAAACTTTTGTCTTTACTTCTCAGCCAAGCATTGAGTGGAAATAAAACTTCAGGGTGAAATATATTTCATAACTATTTATGAGCCAACAGTAAATCACTTTGATGCTTTGAGGGCACGACAACTGCAGGTTGAATGAGAACATACACAGACATCACTGCAGGATTAACATTCATTTATTCATTTATGTAGGATGGCTTGTTTTGCTGCTTGGTTGGACAGGAATGATTTTGGTTCTTTGCTTTTTGTTTGTTTGAAATTTTTATTTGTCTGAAATGTTGATAGATTTTTATGTTATACTGCACCGAACTTAGTAGTTCAGGGTTGTGCATGCTGCATGTGTTATCTAAAAGAATGGGTGAAATAAAGGTACACCTTTTTTATTAGCTTACTATTGAGAATAAAGAGGGAAAAACAAGTAAAAATAAAAGGAAAAGAAAAGACTTCTAACGAACATAAAACTAGTTGATAAAAACTGTAAAAAAGAAAAAAACTAACTTGTAAGTGGCCTATACTGACTTCTTTGTTGAAAATGCCATTTCTTTATTTTCTAACTAAAAAAAGACTTTGAAGACTTTCTTTGATATTGATTTGTATTGTATTTTTGTAACAAAACAAATACACAACTCTATTTATACAGCTCTTGTCATAGAAAACAGCATGCTTTTTAAAAAGAAAAGTTGACAGCAATATTCAAAATAAAAGATTTTGAAATTAAAATAAAGAAATCTTTTAATTAAAGGTAATTAAAAGATTTAAGATACAGTAAAATAATTGTAAGTTGTTAGAGTAAAATCAGTAAGATAGACAGATGTAATTAAAATCAGTTAAGAGAAGAAAAAAAAAACAATAAAAACTAAACAAACAAACAAACAAAAAAAGGTCCAGGCATAAGCCACGCCCACTTTTGGCCTCTTTAACTTCAGCCATGAATTATTTTTTTGGGTTAAAAAGGTGCAAATATAGAAAATGATGCAGGACTCAGATCATTAACTATCTTTTTTGTTAAAGTGGGAATATTTATTTATTTATTTTCCCCAGGTGTGACTTCTATGTTCTGTTGGCGTCTCTAATAATGGGTGGAGAGCAGAGCCATGCGAGAGAGGAGAAAGAGGAGGAGACTGAAAAACAACAAGAACCTGCAAACACCCAGCGCTCAGAGTCTACTGAAGACTCTGCTGAAGGTAAAATGAGATTTAGAGACCATGTGAGGAAAAGAGAGGACGGATTTGGCAAAACAGTGTTAACACGGATGAGTTATTGACCCGGAAAGACCTGATCTGTGAATATAATCCCAGTACTTGTGACCTGAATCAGGACTCCTAAAATCTTAACAAAGTTTTCTGGGAAGGATTTATTTATTTTCACATCTTTGTATTTGTCTGTGGAAATTACAAAGTGAACTTTTTCCTGCTTAAAAATGTCCTCAGGATGTTGAGAAATCGTTCTGGGGTTGATAAACTTTATAAGACTAAGGGTTAGGGGAGAGCAGAGCCATGAGACAGAGGAGAAGGAAAAGGATTCGAGCTAAAAGAAAACACTTAAATCTGCTAAATCTGCAGCAGCTATAACAACACAAACACTTTCATATTCTTTTACTTTAGGATTGCATTTAGATGCAGGATATAATGACACCTTTTTACAAGAACGGAGTATGAAACATGAATCAAACTGTACAAACTCATCTGTTAAAAAAAGCATTGCACAATCAAAAAACAACTGACTATAAGTGAGCTGTTTTTTTTTTCATCAGGATGGAGTTTCATGAGTGTAAATTTATGTATAGCGGTCATCTTGAACCCTTCGTGAGCCCAGAAGAAAACTGTCAATGCACATGTTGTCTTCATGCAAATTTATGAATTTTGATGATATATTTCACCCCCGCAGACACCCTGGGGGAGCTGCCCCAGTGCCAGATGGGAAGCAGAAAGGTGGACAACATGTGCTTCATGATCTCGTGCACTAACTGGTACTGAACTGATCTGAATTTAAAGGGAAAATAGACACTGAAAGGATTTCTTGGCAGGATGCTGCATGTTTGAACTCAAGGAAAAGATGCCATCAACAAACTCTGATGCGCCCAAGTCTACTTTGGAAAATCCCAGAGTGCTGGTGAATGGTTGGGCGTTGAATAAAGACTTGTTAAACGTTGACTGTTAAACAGATTGAAGCTGAAGTAGAGGAACTTGCTCGACCTCTGTTTCTGTACTGACAATAAACCAAACAGTATGAAAATAAAATGTTCTGTGAAATGAATCCGAGTCTCTTATTCAGTTTTACTTTTAAAATAAAGACTGTTGATTCAGTTGAACGTCTGTAAACTAAAGAGAAAATAAATTGTAAGCCTAATCGGTCTATTGAAACCACATTCCCATAAAAGCTCCTCCCTGTACAATCCTGTTAAAGTATTTCATCATGACCTTTTGTTGTCTCTCTAAACAGGACTGACCTGTTTCAGGTGTCAGAGACTGTCTTTGATTCAAATGCAGTCCAAGGTAGTGACCCTGTAAGAACCTGCAATGAGAGAGTGTGGGAAAATCCTGAAGAAATTATAGCATGGACAAAGGTATCAAAGGTTTTGAAGCTACAATGTTTACGTCACAGCAAAGATAAAAAAGGACCAAACTCAAAGAAAAGTGGAAATAGTGTGCTGCTGTCTTCAGTTGTTGTAGAAATCTTCTCTGACTGCGGTTTAAAACCAAGGTCTACTCTTCTTTAGAGATCACCTCCTGTCACCTACAGACTGTAGAAAACATGGACAGTCTCTTTAATAAGACGCCATAACATGAACAAAGACTTCATGAAATTCAAAGTTTTCATGACTTAAAAGACAATGAAAGCAAAAATATTCCCTGAAACATAAAATATTTCATTTGATGCACACATTCATGTCACAAAATATTGATTGATAAACCACAATAACCTTTCAACAAACTCCAGGAAAGTCCCAAAGATGTTCGTGAAATGCTCTCTTTTGAATTTTTGGGACTATTTTCAAATTATGTGAAATATTTTGTATTTTGCGAACTGCACCATTAAACTTCATGTATAGCGCTGAATAAGCAGTTTGGATTGAAACACACCCTTCATACGCATACCAACACCCAGCAGAGGTGGTTTGACAACACTCCACCCATTACCTGAGTCACCTGAGGAACACCAATACAGACAGAGAGACAGACGGATAAAAAAAAATCAGACGAGATTCATTTTTAGATACAACTTTGAATTTCCACTCAGTCATATCAACCACAGGAGGAGGAAAGTGTGAAACTGCGACACTCAGGCTTCAACCTGCTGACTTTTTCACCACTCAAGGTAAGCCTGAATAAACAGAGTCACATTAAAGGTGGATTTCAGTGAAGTTTGTAGAGAAGGGAGGGGTGCTGTGACTGGATTCACTTAAAGTCTGCTGTCTTTTCAGCTTCATTCAGGGGCTGCATGGCTTCCAAACTAGTGGAGGGCCTTTGCTGTCCAGTCTGCACCAACATCTACACAGAACCTGTGATTCTGTCATGTAGTCACAGCTTCTGCAAAGGCTGTCTACAACGCTGGTGGACACTGAAGGATACACTTGCATGTCCGGTTTGTAGGAGAAGATCATCAAAGGATCACCCAAAAGTAAACCTGGCCCTAATGAACCTGTGTGAGACCTTTTTGTCGGAGAGAGATGCAGAAGATCTCTGCAGTCTGCACTCTGAGAAACTCAAACTCGTCTGTCTGGACCATCAGCAGCCGGTGTGTCTCATCTGCAAAGATTCAGAAATACATGCAAATCACACCTTCAGACCCATCAATGAAGCTGCTGAACAACACAAGAAGAAACTTCAGGAAACCGTGAAGCCGTTAACAGAGAAGTTGGAGGTTTTTAAAGGACTTAAAGGGGATTTTGTTCAGGCAGAACAACACATCAAAACTCAGGCTCAGTGCACAGAGATGAGGATAAAGGAGGAGTTTAGGAAGTTTCACCATTTTTTGATAATGGAAGAGGAGGCCAGACTGGCTGCTCTGAGGAGGGAAGAGGAGCAGAAGAGTCAGAGGATGAAGGAGGAGATTTCAGCTCTGAGCAGAGAGATAGATGATCTTTCAGACACAGTCACAGCTGCAGAGGACCAGCTGAGAGCTGAAGACATCCCATTCTTAAAAAACTACAAATCTGCAGTGGAAAGAGTCCAGCAGCGCCCCCCTCTGAAGGATCCACAGCTGCCCATAGGAGCTCTGATAGACCAGGCCAAACACCTGGGCAACCTGGGCGTCAAGATCTGGACCAGGATGAAGGATTTACTTTCCTACAGTCCTGTGATTCTGGATCCAAACACTTCTCACCCAAACCTCACCCTGTCTGATGATTTGACCTGCGTAAGTCTAGAAGAAGAAGAAAAGCAGCATCCTGATAATCCAGAGAGGTTTGACCTTCTTGTGTCTGTCGTGGGCTCTGAGGGCTTTGACTCAGGGACCCACAGCTGGGATGTCTACGTTGGAGACAGCATAAATTGGACTCTGGGCGTGATCGCAGAATCCTTTAAAAGAAAGGGAGATGTGCTGACCGGACACTGGAGGATAGGACTTGGTTCTGGTCAATACTCAGTCAGGTCATCACCAAATCCAGAAATTGTTATTATGGTCCAAGGGAAGCTCCAAAGGGTCCGAGTCAGTCTGGACTGGGACAGGGGAACGCTCTCTTTCTCTGATCCTGATGGGAACAGACTCATTCATACTTTTAAATACCGCTTTACAGAGAGGCTGTTTCCATTCTTTAACACTGAGGATAAACTCCCTCTCAAGATCCTACAGCTGAAAATGGGTGTGAAAATAAACAAGAGCAGCTTATGAGTGACACAGACATCCATGGGTTACCGCAGTTTCATCACTGATCAGACTGGTTTAGTTGGACTGTAATCAGAACCTTAGAATCAGTCAAAACGGTGAGAGGCTCTAATACGAGACCTAATGGGATGATTTTTATATCACTAAGCAGGGTTTGAATGGCACTAACATCGTTGATGCTAATGACTTTGTGTTATTTGATAAATGAGTTATCTTATTATGACCTTTTCCTTTCCAAATTTTCTCTTCTCCTTTCATCCATCGATTTCACAACATGTCTATCTAAACTCTGAGAGTGTTTTTCTGGGCTCAAATTTATCTCACTTAACCTTTGACTTTTGAAGGGTTGGAAGGTGAAACTACAGGCCCTGTCTCACACTCACTGACTTTGAGGTCTGCTATTTAAGGCCCAGCATAGACAAGCTCCACCTTATGTTTCTAAACTTTTATCCCCTTATGTACCAAGATGCAGTCAGACTTCCTCTGACACTGGCTGTTCCAAGGTCCAGGTTGAAAACCAAAGGAGACAGGCTTTTGTTGTGAGAGCACCTGGACTCTGGAACAGCCTACTGTAGGAGATCAGACCTGCAGAGTCAATCCTTAAGACACATTTCTTTTACAGAAAAGCTTTTATTTTGTGTTTTTTACATTGTACTATTATTGACTTTGTTTTTACTTGGGAGTATGCTTTATATGTTACTTTTGTTTTATCTTTGGGTTTTATTGCAACTGTGAAGCACTGTTTTGAAAAGTCTAATTTCCGACATAATCAGTCAAACTGGGGAAAAGCAAGACAAGGGTTGAGATATTACTTCATAGACCTGATTAATTACCCATATACTGTATATGTCATCATCTATCTGAAATGATATTAAAGTTTATGATTTATCACAAGCTCTGGGACCATAACTTCTTTGGAGAAGACATTAGCCATGTTTACATGGGCACAAGTGATCGGAATAAAGGCCCAGTCAGAATAAAAATGCGTCATGTAAACTTGTTGATTGTAAGATTCTGATCCAATTCGGCTCAATCGGAAAGAAATTGTATTCCGATCGAGAAGGGTGGTGTATACCGATCGTTATTAGGAAATGCGTCCATGTAAACACTTATTACGAACTTGACTCTTTTACCTGACTCTCTTACCTTACTCTTCACTCTTTAGCCTTTGGTTTATTTATTCAGGCCAGTACAGGAGGTTTTATTATTTACACTCTGACATAAAACATAAATCTAGTCCTCCGATAACACAACAAGGTACAGCGTAATGATGTCACACAGTCGAACCTTTGACAGAACAGTAAAATAAGTAAGCAAGAGCACCACTGAGTGACAACATTTAACGGGGGGGATCCTGAATTGGATGAAGTTAGCCACTACCGCGTTTGTCGGTTTGTTGACAGCACCGGCGTAAATAAAACTCTTCTACTGTTGTTTTAGCGAACAACTCTGCACATGTCCAAATGCTTCCAATCCGAATAAAATTTGGTGCATGTAAATGCACGTCATGACCAGATTATTTGATTTTGCACCCATATAAACAGTGGATTCAGATTTTCTGATCAGACCAAGAAATTTTGCACATTTCTACGTTGGGTTTTGGTTGCTTTATCACCTACATTGACAAACTATGCTTTTATTTTGCATAAGTATTTTGAAAATGGGGCTGTGGATATATATGCTGGTTCGGTTTCAGACAGGTTCAGATTGTTGCTAGTTTACGTGACCACAGAGGATTCCAATCTGGAGGAGACAATGATAAGACAAAATTGTTTTATGTGGACCATGGGACATCTTTTCTCCACTGAACAGCTTATCCATCACCCTAAATAATGAACAATGTATTGCTGTGACAGGCTGAGTTAGTTGAGGGGCACAGAGTGTCCGTTTTGAAAGAAGTGCAACACAGGTACAGATCCACTCTGCTTCTGTGCTCTTTCCTCCTTTTTGTTCTTAAACTTTCCTGATGTGTGTTGATAACAAAGATATAACCAGCTACCAAGAGACATCACTTGAATGTCTGGCATTTGCTGTTTTTGATAAAGGTTGAAGAGCAACATTTATCCCAAATTTAACTGGTGAAGAATGACTAAAGTATGACTCAAACCAAAAAGCTATTTTTCTCCAAAGACTGAGATTAAATGGAAAATAGCTGCCAAGATCAACACAACTCTGTGTAAAGAAAAGGCCCAAAACACAACGATAGACAAATATTTCATATTAATTACGTTTCTGGGTAAACATCCTCAGGCTCTATGAAAAGAAAAAGTTGAAAATTGAATTAGAGAGGAAGACGTCTCTCATGTAGTCTCCAAATGACGACATTGAGGACTGTTGGAAAGCATCGGTATCTACAGAGCTGCTCTGTCCAGTCCTATTGCTGGACAGGTGGCTGCACATATTGCCTATCACCAGAGAGAGGGCCATTATGTCCCAAAATGAGTATTTCAGCAAAATACACCAGGCAGATTTATTATGCACATCTGTTAGATTTACAGTGTGCAGCACATAATCTCACTGATGCCCCCAAACTACTAAAAGATGTTCAGAAATTCACCATGTATCACCGCTGAAGAAATTGAGCAAGATTCAATTGCACACTCAAATAATTTTTTACTAATTACAACTTTCTTTAGATTTCTTTTTGTCTTTTTTTCCCCAAAGAGTAGAGAACTGGCAGAAAGAGTGGGGGATGATGTGGCGGAGAACTGGAATCCAACCAGTGCTTGCTGCAGCCTCTGTTCTTTGGATACACAAGACGTACTCTGCCTGTTTAATTGGAAATTCACCAAGAAAGTAGTCTAAAGGTAAGAAGAGCCTTTTTAAAACATAAGGAGACCCCCCCAGTGACACATGATGGACAGACTATTAATCAGTTTATGAAAATGATGATTAATGTGTGTCAACATCTCTTTCTTGCGTAACAAAGACAAAGCAATGACAGGCTAAAATGTCACAACTGGTAACAAAAACTCTGGCAAACACAGATACAGTGAAGAAATCAAAGAGAAAAATAAAGCCACAGTTGTAACAGATTGTTTTGTTTTTTAACTTAGTTCAGCATCATGTTGACAGTCTATGAAAGTAAAATATTGCAGATTTAAACACTTGGTACAAACTTTAAGTCCTGATTGATTAATTAAATAATTTGAATTAATTGAATTGAAGGCAAGGGAGGGTTTTAATTTAGAATCTGACTGCTAGATATTTCTAAATATTCCCATTTTCAAACTAAATAATAAATAAAAATCATAAATATGGTAATTACAGGGTAAGTCAGAGGTGATGGGTGAGATTTTACCCATAAAATCTGCGACGCTTATTCACAATGAGCACCGACCTCCATAACTTCTACAGGAAACACAAGTCACTCTGCAACTCAGAATATGTCTATCATATCTGTCATATGTCTATCTATGTCTGTCTTTATTTTCCTGAGCCAAGACTCCCACAAGACTTTTTGTTGTACTGCGTGACTAAATAATTCATGCGTCATCCACTCAATGAAAAACACTCTTAGACAATGAAGTTATCACTTTTATTGACATTTCATTGTTAACAGAACATGGTGTTATTGATATATAATTGGCGTGGGACAGTAAAACAAAATGTAGAAAAGAAAAAAAAAACTCCTTTCCAGTCGTGTTAGCTTTTAAATAATCAAACTTTGTCTCTTTAGAAATCAAACTTGAGTCACAGAATAATCTTCAAGTAAATAACGTAAACATGCCTATCCAGCATAATAAGCATCGTCATAAAAATGGTTTAACATGATGTGCAAAGAATGATGACTTTCATCTTAAATAAGACAGAGAAATAAAAATACAAAACTTTCCAAAAGCTTCTGTTGGTTTTTCTATTTACATCAGCTGATTTTTGATATCTGACTGAAAAGGACTACATCAGAGCTCTATAAAAAAAGCCACAAAAGAAAAAGGTGCATCATTTTGCATGTAAAGAGGTGAGCCAAGGTCAGATTTTTTTCGTTTTGATTTTATAATCAACCCATTTAGTCAAAAAACCCAAATCCAAACAAAGTCATAAGGTATTTACAGAAAACTCTTTTTTTTTTCTTTATAAGAAAAACTAACAGAATTGAATCTCTCTTAAAGCTATGTCTGATAAAATCTCCCTACAAGTAGTAGTAGTAGTAGTAGATGTGATAATATCCAAAGAACTTTAATATAACTTGTTACTTAAAAAGTCTTCCCAGACTACTTCTGATATGTTTTTATTCTTCTACGTATATTTTTAAGAAAAGAGAACGTTAGAAACTAAAGGCAACAACAGGCAAGTTAAAGGAAGACTTAGCCACATGATGCCACACTCCAAACTTGCTGTTGTAAGAGGTGGGTTTATATTTCTCAGATATGATACTGTTAAAGCTGTGAAAGTTTGAGTTACAAAAGCTTTTCTGGATAAAATATAAGACTGCGTGGACGAAAGAACCACTTTAAACAAACCCCTGGATACTTTTAAAGGAGTTTAAAATGGCAAACCTGCTTTAATTTTGTTTTTAATGACCTCTTTGATCACCCCTGTTTGGAAGTGGCAATATCAGATAACTAAGTCTACCTTTAAAGGCAACTCACTGTTGTCCAAAGCCACCAGAACATCACCAGACCTGGGACAAAATGATTTCAAGCTGAGGACACCAAAAAGCTGAAGGAGATCAGCTCGTCTGGCTACTTGTCTGAGGAAACTGAGGCTGAACTCTCCCTGGAGCTTCTCTTTTTATTCTAAGTGTCACTTATTTATTTCTCTTTTTGATCCTGATGTGTCTGCCTGTAACAGAGGTGCCCAAACTCCTTTCTCTGTCTCTTTAAGTGACAGTAGATGCACAGGAAGTGGAGTAAAGTGGCTAAAGAGGAGGGTCATGAAACCAAGAAAGGATAGATTGAGCTCTGGCAGGTGTATGAAGACACATCCTGAGGTGTAAGTCAAGTCCCTTCCAGCAGCAGTTTGTCCCAGGTCTGCATACAATAACCATAAAAGAGGCAAATTTC